AAAAGGACAGGATGATGAATTAATTCACGCTTATGTAGCGCTGAGATACGCATCGTGATAGATAAAGAACATCTCCCTGGAGTCATCCATGCTTTCAGCAGCCCTACATGAGAATGAATTACCTTCTGAATTCTCTATGCAATGCCATGTTTGCTTCCACAGGGTCCTGAGGGTACCTGGCAGGTTGCAGGGTGGATTTTGCCACCTGGGACAAAGGCTCTAAACAATGGGAGATGGGGGATTTACAGCCTGGAAGGCAGCAATCTGGAAACCCACCCAATATATGGTAGGGGGAACGAAGCAGGAGCAGGTCCTGGGAAAATGGGTTCTTCAGTCGCTGCTGGGGAATCACATGCATGTATTCCCCCTAAATCAATGTTTTTCATTATCTGAAATGAAAAGAGCTTTCATTTGTGGAAACGTTGCTCTGTGCTTTTCAATCAGTTTTAATTAAGCGACTGAGATGCGTTAAATTGTGCTGGAGGAATCTTCTTGGGAACACTGGCTGCTCGAGTTTTACTGCTCCTCTTACAACCATAAATAGGGATAAATGCCTAATTGCTACTGAGAGTGTTCTGCTGGACCTAATGAGCTGATCACAAACAATCCTTCATTGTGGAATAATTTAATTGGATTTGACTCCAGCCAGAGATCCCTGTGCCTCACAGTGCTGGGCTGGGGGTCGGCAGGGAAGGAGTTGGTTTCCATTGCTGCTCAGAAAGGTCCCATCTCATTATCTCTAGCCCTTCCATGTGGTTGTTTGTACCCAGGGGAAATTCCCCAGCTCTGCCTTTCTCCAGAGGAGAGCAAAGCACAGCAGTGCAGTGAGGCTGGGACTCCTGGAGTGGGGAAGGCATTGGTGTGCTGTGGGGATGTGGCTTGGGAATGCCTCCCACAGCCAGGGCTTGGCCAGAGCAGGGTCAGGCTGCCATCACAGAGCCCTTGAGGAGCTGTGCTATTGCCCACGGTGAATCTGTTCTGTGATGGGATCATCGCCCTCACATCTTCACTGAGAATTTTGAGTGGTTTATGAATGAAGTGCTTGGTTATGTTGTGTGTTTTAATTATGGATGTATGAGCGTTGTCTTTCCATCAGCAGAAACTTGAGAGCGTGAAGCTCTCTGCAGAACAAACAGGGAAATGAGCAGCGATGGCACCTGGGCAGGTTTGGTTTCAGCAGCACCCAACTTCCCAGCACAGCTAGTGGGAATGCAGGCAAATTGCAGCCATCTGGTGGGGAACTGCCCCTGCTGATGGGGGACAGCAGAGCTCCACAGAGCCACGTTGGTCTCTGCTGGGCTGCATTAGCACCCGACAGCCCAATTCTCTGCACCTCCTCTTGAATCCGTGCAACCCTTGGGCAGTTGCTTAACTGCTGCGCTGTTATTCCAGATTTGGCTCATTTTGCTATGGAAAGCACAATTCCTCTCTAAGCCTTCAGCTCCCATCCTGGTCCAGCTGCTCCCACCAGCTGTGTTCTCAGCCCTGGAATGAATTGCCCCATCAGTTTATCCACCATCCCCTGGAGTGCGTCAAATTTTTGCCTTCTTGCTTTGAACTCTTTCCCTCTGCCTGCGAAGAGGAACAACCTTCAGTTTCACAGGCCCTGCCCTGGGGTTCATTATCCTTTTCCTCAGTGAAAGATGTTCACACAACATCTGAAGGAGGTCTAGAGCAAGATCAGGGATACATTTCCCAACCCAGACTAACAGCTTGAGAGCAGGACATTAGGGAAATGCAAAGCAGCAAGTTGAAAAGCCCTTCTGAACCATGAAGGAGTATTGGGGTAAAAAGCATCTGAGTCCATCCTGCTGCTGCCTTGCCTGTAGCTAGGGGAAAGCAAAGCTGGGACCTGGATTTCCCCATCCTCTTCTACAGCAGCATCACTGGATGAGAGCTGTGTTCCAACTCGGGTATCTCCCATTGTCAGACACTCTCAGGAACATCCCCAGACACCCATTGCTATGGGCCCCATCCCTCTGTGCTGGGACAGTTCCCCTACTGCCCACATTCCCAACAGTGCAGGCTCTGTTCTGCAGCTCCCAACCCCAGCAGCCCACCTACACACATGGGCACGGTGACAAATTTTGTGCTGCTGCACCCACAGCTGCCCTGGAACGAGCCTGGCTGTTGCTCCCCTAAAGGCAGGGATGATCTTTGGGCGTGCTTTGTTGTGAGTTTTGTTATTTGTTCGTGTTTCTTTGGATTAGCAGTGCTGACAATGCTCTGCGTGGATGCAAGGTCACACGTGCCATACAGGCTGTCCTCCCTGAGCCATTCTCACGTGGTCCCCGCTTTGCTCCCACGTTGCTCTTCCTTTGGTCTAGATCAGCTGAGTCCCCATGGCTCCCATCCCCTCAGTGCAGCACTGCTGCAAATCTCCCTTCTGATTCACACAGCCCTTGTTTTTCCAGTCCAAGCACACGTGGCGATGGCTGGGATGTGTCCATCAGTTGGATGCACAGCTGCCTGCTTTGTATACTCCATATAACCAGTGCTTGGACTCAGTTATAGATTCCTATAATGGCTTAGGTTGGAAGGGACTTTAAGTCCTGTTTGCATTTCCATTTAATGCACACATGTATGTAGACATCTCCCAAGCCTCTGCCAGGATCCTTCTCCTTCGTGTCACAGACACTGCTTTCACTGTGGCTGACCTCAAAGCAGCACATAGAGGTATTCAAGTGCCTGTTGCCTTACACAACAGAAGGAAGGAAGGAAGTTTTAAAGCATTTTGTGCTGTTTCTTTATGTGAAACACCAGTATGTGAGCATAGGAAGGATGCTACAAATCTCAGCCTTGCTAAATATCCGGTTGCAGTATTGGCTGATTTAGTTAGTAAGTCAAACTATTGCTTAGTAACAGAGAGGCATAAAACCAGCTTATCCATTACTCACTTTAAGCTGAAACTGGAGAAATGAAGCTCTCTAAATAATGAAGACCACAGATCACAGTGATATCTTCCCTTAGACAGAAAGCTAAAGAAGTAATTTGAAAGGCTTCGTTCAGCACGACCTGCTCCCTGAGGGCTGTGGAAATCCTGGACATAACTTTAATTACTGACCCGGTCCTATAATTATTTTGTCCTTCAACTGTTTTTATTGCAGTGACTGGATTGGAAAATCCTTTGAATGAGCAAAAAAAAAAAGAGATCAAAGTAGAACTCCCCTCTGAGCCCCTTTGCAACCCATAATTTGGTGTAACGGGGACGCAGAGGGCTGGTGACTTTGCTTGGGCTTCAGCCCAGGGATGGGGATGTGTTCTGGGCTCTCATTTGGACCATCCTTGAGATTCAGATGTGTGCAGAGGGTCAGGAATGCTTCACGGTAAATCTTTAGGGCTGAACATCTTGCTGTTAACACTTCAGAAATCTCAGGCTGCATATTTGGTCTGGGAAGGATGCACAGGGTCCTCCTTACCCATCCCTTCTTATTGAATAACCGTGATGTCTTCCAGACATCTCTATGATTCCAGGGTGCATTGCAGGAGCAGCATCTCCTTTAGGGAGGGCAAAACCCTGCAAGGATGACAAAACACTGCCCATTCTCCATAGGGGCAATGGGAAAAACGTTCTCAGGAGCTGCCTTGCACTGGCTGTGCCCCTGCCTGGGGTGCAGGAGAGCTGTGCAGGCCATGTGTCAGGGCTGTCAGCTGGCTGACAGCTGTCAGCTTGGCTCCCTGCAGTACCTGTCACCGGCTTCTGTCTGTTGTCCTGAGCCCCCTTCCTCCCACATCAGCCTCATTGGGGCTCAGCAGCAGCAGCCCAAGCTGGACTGATTTATATTTCATGACCCAGGTTCTCCTTGCTTGCCAAATGGCCTCTGTGCTGCTCTCCTGTCTGTGCCGTCCCTGCACAGTGCAGGGCTGCACAGAGATGGGAAGGAGCAGCGCTGGGGATTTTCCACTGTTTGCTGCCCTGGCGTTGTTTCTGCTCTCAGCTGAGAGCTGTCTGGATGTCTGCTGCCCGGCTGTTATAGCTCTATTACAGACAGAGCTGTAACTCAGCTGTGATGCCACCTCTGTGGTGCAGCAGCCTTTCTACGGGGAATTTTATTGTACAGATAAGATAATTCATCCTCCTTTCTACTCTCTTTTAATCTGCAGTTTGTCTGTGGGCTTATTAACAGCAAAATCAAATGGATGTCTATGAAAACTCCAAGCGATGTGCTGCCAGTCCCTGCAGGCTCCTGGATGTGTGCAGGGGTGAAGGCATCATCCCATTGCCTGACCCCACACAGCCTCGGAGCCCCGTTGCCTCCTGGAAAATAGAGGCAAAGCAGCTCACAAAGAGATGCTGCATTTGTGGTCTGCTCTCGTCTGTCCAAAAATATTCCCATAGTGTGTAGCAGGCAGTGCTCTTTTGGGAAGGGGAATGGCCATCAGCAGTGCTGGAGCACCTTTTGGGCTCCCGTTGGCTCTGCAGTTCTTCCTTCAGTGGAATTCAACTCTTTGTTTTCAGACCAGAATGAAAGCTGGGTTTTACTGTTTGTTCGGTCTCGTGCATGAAATTCAGCTATGAGCTTCCTGACTCCTGGGCAACATCATCTGGTGCCTGTTTCGTCTGGTTTAGAGGCTTGCACCCCGGTGGGATGGTTGGTAGGAGGTGATCTTTGAGGTCCTTTCCAACCCAATCATGCTATGATTCCGTGGTTCTGCATTTCTATGGTTCTGTGAAACAGCAAACCATCCTTCTGATTTTCTCCTGCGGGGCCCACATGGTTCAGCATTCACTTCTCAGGGCAATTTTCCAACATTCCTTGGGGAGAACTCAACAGAACTCTGGGGTTTGAGCACAGGTAACCACAAAGACTGAACAAAAAATGCCTTGGAAGGAGAGCGACCATGGGCTGAGTACTGGAAACGCGGCCTGGAAAATAATTCTGGCACCATTAACACCCTTTGTCCCTCTGTACAAATATTTTCAGATTGCAGACTCTCTGTCCCAGGAAGAGAAATGCAGGACATAGCAGTGCTGACCTCTGGCTTTTTGTGTTTTGCAGCTGAGGACCCAACAGCCATCAGCTCTCCTGGGGGGAGCAGGTGAGGTCATAGCATTATCCTGACATCCAAAATGGTCCTGCACAGCCACCAGCTCACCTGTGCAGGGATTGCATTTGCTCTGTGCCTCCAACACCTCATCAACGCCATCGAAGTCCCTCTGGATTGTAAGTTCTGATTTACTCCTTCTAAATCTGGGCACGGGTGGGGATGGGCTGATGGTTGGGTTGTATGATCTCAGTGGTCTTTTCCAAGGCCTGTGATTCTATGGTTTCCTGCTTGAAGGGCTGCGGAGGCAGAGTGAAGAGATACGCACACCAGGCATCTCTCCTGCTCCAACCAAACATTTAGGAGATTTTTCTTTTTAAGTCACTTTTTAAGTCATTTCATTCAGAAATCCACCTGAATTGCTGACTCGAAAGCTGAGCAAAGGACTTGCAGCCACTGATCAAAAAGGGGCAGAACACCAAGCTGGTAGAGAAGCCCATCCCCAGCAAACCTTTAGCCTACAGACTTAAAGTGGAGCATCCTACAGTTTTTGTCTCTATTGGGACTTTTGGTTAAACATGAGACACGAGTTATGTTTTATTATGTTTTATTCAGAGAGTTTGAGGATATGGAGTGAGGAGGAAGGGGACAAGGGGTGTTGTTTCTGCTAAGCAGCATCTTCAGGCTGGTGTCTGGGAAATGTGTGGCTCGTTTGGGTGTGCTTGGGATGAAGGTTTGTACTGAGAGCAAGCTGCTAAGTCATGGCTCAGAGGCTCTGTTCCAGCTACTCGTCTGGATACCAGTTTCATAATTTCTCAGTGTCCCAGCTTCCTCCTGTAGAGGCTGTTAATAATAATCAGCCTGTAACTGCAGGGAATCTATTCTGACAGTGCAATGTACAGAAATCCTCCGGCGAGCGGTGCATTAGTGGAAAAAGCACTGCTTTGTGCTGCTGTCTGTAGTCAGGCTGAAGCACCAGGGTTCTTTGGAAACAACGTGAAGAGAGAGAGTGGGAAATCTCTGGTTTGCTGAGGGGAAAGTAAATACTTGTGCGACTGAAAGCTTGAGGTGGGGGTCCCATGCAATCTCTTATCTGTGCAAGACTTAAGTGTGAGTTCGTGCTCTACTCCGTTCCAAATGATTGTGGATGAACATAATTTTGTTCCCTAGGGTCAGCCCTTGGCAATTTTGTTCCCAACTTGGGAATTTGACAAGATGAACACAGCTTGGATGTGCAGGCAGTCAGTACATAGATGGGAGCCATTGGGCATGACTGAGTAGGTCTGCAAACAGCAGTCTTCTGCTCCTTCTTGTGCTTTTCTGTCAAAAAAGAGTGATTTTGATGCTTATGTGTAATATGAGCTTAGAAAAGTAAGGGAAATGCTGACAGCTGGTGGAGAACTGCTGAAGGCAGCCTGTCTTTGCAACTCACCGCTTCTTCAGTCACCTCCCTGCTGCACAGCATGGACTCACAGCAGAGCATCATCACCTCCAGCACTGGAGATGCTGGAGGATATAAATATCTATCTATATATGGGATAGATACCTATATATCTACATATGGGATATAGATATTGGTACACTAGAGTTCATTTCATGCCCTCTTTGGACCCCCCCACCCCTCCCAGAGGCTGCACATTGTTAGCAGCTAACAATGACTTGGACTCAGTGGTCCTTATGGGTCTCTTCCAACTCAGGATATTCTATCATTCCATCATTTTCTGAGTGCTCACCAGTGTTTCCTGCTATATAACTGTAAGTAGGTGGATTAGAACATGCTGGAATTGTTAAACCAGTCGTATGTAGGATTTGCAGACTCTGCAATAACAGTGTTTTGTTTTCATGTTTGTGTGCATAATGTGTGTTTATCGGGGTTAGCCCCTCGATTAACCCTTCTTTCTTCTTTTTCATTACGCTTGCACTTTGGAAATAACAGCAAGTATTCAGAGTGAATGTAAGTGCTGCCTTCTATGTGAACATGGTGGTGTCCTCTGCATGTCCAAAATGGCAGGAGGGGTTGGGTCTGGTGCCAGCTGTGCTTTGGTGCAAGGTATATGTGGTGCACAGGGCTGGTGACAAATAGCATGCGCTCCATGCTTGCTTGTGGTTTTGGAAGTCTTTGGACCACAAACTGGGAAAGGTGTCAGAATCCTGGTGAGATCTGCTGCAGGAGAGCAGAGAGAGGCTTCTCCCTCTCACGCAGCTCATCTCACTGCTGCCATTTGCTTTGCAGTGCCTCAGCCCCCCACCATCACCAAGCAGTCTGTGAAGGACTACATCGTTGACCCCCGAGACAACATCTTCATCGAATGTGAAGCCAAAGGGAATCCTGTTCCCACGTAAGTGCCCCGGAATTGCTCCTGTACTGGAGCTGTGTGGTTTGTTAGCACTGGTTCTGAAGGTGCTGGCATTTCTGGGCACAGCAGATCTCAGTTGGCCACACTGTCCCCAAAACCAGCGCCATAGATGCCAGTTGCCACTTGCATAACCCAACTAAGGCTCTTTCCAGGGAAATACAGCCCACAGTCACCTCACAAATCTCTCTGCCACCCTGACAGCTTTTCCTGGACACGGAACGGGAAGTTCTTCAACGTGGCAAAGGACCCCAAGGTGTCCATGAGGAGGCGGTCGGGGACGTTGGTCATTGATTTCCATGGAGGTGGGCGGCCAGACGACTACGAGGGCGAATACCAGTGCTTCGCCAGGAACGATTTTGGCACTGCACTGTCCAGCAAAATCCACCTCCAGGTGTCCAGTGAGTAAGCACAGTTGTGTGGGGTGAGCAGCAGAAATCAGACTCAGGAAGTTCCACGGTTCTATGGATGCTTTGTAGTAAAAGCACAGATAGAATCCAGTGGTCAGACATCCCAGCCTGCTTCGTGGTCTTTTCAGGTCACTTCCAACCCTGTGATTCTGTCATCCGTTGCCTGTGTCAAGATCATAGAATCATTAAGGCTGGAAAGGATTTCTAGGATCACCGAGTCCAACCCCAAGCCATCCCTGCTGTGCCCACTACCCATGACCCTCAGTGCCACATCTCCACAGCTATTGACCCCCTCCAGGGATGGTGAATCCACCACCTCCTTGGGCAGCCTGCGCCAGTGCCTGACCACTCTTCCTGATATCCTACCCCCCTTCCCCCCTAGCTACAAACTCCTTACAGGGAACTGTAGAGAGAGATGAGGTCTCACCTGAACCTCCTCTTCTCCAGACTGAACCATCCCAGTTCTCTCAGCTGCTCCCCATAAGACTTGCACACACAGAAATAAGGCTTCCCTCTCTCTGCATTGAGGCCATTCCATTGAAACCAGGCCAGGTCCGGTGGGAAGGGAGGAGATCTTCAGAGTGAATACCTACCTTCCTCATGCAGTGCTGTGATTCTCGTGGCAGGATCTCCCCTGTGGCCCAAGGAGAAGGTGGATGTCATTGAGGTTGACGAAGGTTCTCCACTCAGCCTGCAGTGCAACCCGCCTCCTGGTCTGCCTCCTCCTGTCATCTTCTGGATGAGCAGCTGTGAGTTGGGGAAACCCTTTCCACCATGAACCCTCACTCCCTTCAAGCACCTGCAGTGTTAGTTTGAAATAAATACGTTTGGAGTCATCGTTGCCAGTTCACAGCTTGGTGGTACCAACGCATGGTTTAAGTTGGGAGTTGCTTTTTGCCTTCACGTGTTCAGGAGGTCCTGGTTAACTGAATGCCTGTTCCCTTGCAGCCATGGAGCCCATCCACCAGGACAAGCGTGTCTCCCAGGGCCAGAACGGTGACCTGTACTTCTCCAATGTCATGCTGCAGGATGCTCAGACTGACTACAGCTGCAATGCACGATTCCACTTCACCCACACCATCCAGCAGAAAAATCCCTACACCCTCAAGGTGAAAACCAGTAAGTGTCATGGTTGTCAGCCAGGATGGAGCTCTGCCAACCTCTTGGGTAGGGTTCTCCTTTCAGTCTTTGACAGCTCTGAGTCCTACCAAAGAAAAGAGTGTCTTCCCTCGTTTTGATCAGGATAGAAGTCCGGTTAAGAACTGATGGGACTCAGACTGACTCCATGGCTTGTTCCCTTGCAGTGCCTCAGGGCTGCAGAGATTGCTCAGTGTGGGTACTGCTGAGTTTCTGAGATGGACATGGATGGTGTATTCCCTCCATCCTTAGGGAGAAATGCAATAACAAGTGATTTTTCCCTAATTTGGATGGCTGGAGATAGCCGTGTTTTGCTCCAGGTTTAGGTTTATGGGGACGCCCTATGGTGCTGCATGGGGGGGACTGAGTGTTTGTTCATTGCTGATCAACAAGTCTTGGGGTTCACCATGACCAGGAGCTGATGAACAGTTCTGGGAGGTGGGAGCAGGGGGAGCAGAGCCTCAGGGGCCTGGGGACACTGGCTCCCAATTCCTGGCACCAGGAGCTTCATCTGTTGCTTAATAGGAGGTAACACTATTAAAGCGTTCTGATACCTGGCACTGAGGTGTGATGTGAGCAGCAGGCTGGGCTTGGAGCATTCTGCACTTCTGGTGTAACACCTTCTCCTTGTGCAAAGCACGAGAAGTAGCAAAGCAAATACTACAAATGGGCACTTTTCTAATGGTGAGGAAGGTGTACATGTAACTCGCTCCGGTTACTTGTTATCTGGTTGAGAACCTGGCTGAATAATGCCAAAATTTGCCTCGTACTGAAGGACTGAGCCCTGAATGAGCTCAGGCTCAAAGTGGAGAGCGAAAAACCTGTGTTCATTTGGGTCTCAGACGTTTTCAGCCTGGTATATTGGTCCAGCTCCAGAAAAAGAAGTGAAAGAAATCCTGGAAGGATTTCCTGTGGAGCATCTCTGCTGTGTCTTGGGCCCCAGGCTGTGCCCTGGGTGTTCTCTGTTTTGCTCATTACCCAGTGGAGCTCTGTTGGCAATTAGTGGCTGTGCTCGCCTAGGTGTCAGCAATTGTCAGTGAGGGAGAGCGGTGTGTTATGAGGAGCTGCTGTTTTTGCATATAACACAATTTGCTTCAATTACCTGGGAATTGAAAGGGGTTTTTACAGCAGATTATGCTCTTAAAGCTTAATTGTTGTTATCGTTTTTATTTGTTCGCCCTCTCCATGCCTTTCTGCATCATTACACTGCTGCCTCGGTGCATCCAGCCCATTCTTTGTGCTGGAAAGAAATAGCAGGAGCACGCTTATTTCACAGTTAACTGAGAGAAAAAAATATATTTTCTTCCCAAATTGAATTAATTCTTGCCAACGTTGCCTTTATACCAAAGGAAAAACACTTGGAGGAAACGTTTATGATCAAGTTAGGTGATATTTATCACGCGTTTATTTGTCTCTCCATCTCGTAGGAGGAAAGCAATCTTCTCTTCCCCTCCCGCACCACTGTGCTCTGTTGCTGTTTGTCTCCTAAGGCTCCGAGCACCTCTGTTTGCTTCTGTGCTCCCTGGTCCCCATGTAGCCCCATCCCTGTTTTCCACCGCTGCTTTGTGCCGCTCGGTATGCTCACGGTCTTTTGTTTATTGCAGAGAAACCCCATAACGAAACGTCCTTACGAAATCACACTGACATGTACAGTGGTGAGTCAACAGCAGCTTCTGGAGACCTTCACGTTTGTAACCCCCTGTGCCTAACCTGACTGATCCTGTGCTAACCCAGCGTGGGCTGCGTCGGCAGCATCCCCGTATGCACAGCCCCGATGTGTGCGTGTGGTCCTTTCTGTGCTTCGTCCCCCCCAAACGTCACCAAAAGTGGGCTGGGAACAGCCCAGCAGCCCAAATCCCCTCCGAGTTTTGACATCTTAAAAATGATCGAGGGCTAAGCTAATTAATTGGATACACCGAGCTCAGCTCCGGAGATATTTGGCTTAATAGGATCAGGGCTAAGTGGGAAAGCTGGTGGTTGGCTCCACTGCCTCGTCCTCCTGACTGAGATACAAGAGCCACCATCCCTCTTTGTCTGCATTCAGAATGAGCACCTACTGTGCTTGCAGCCAAGCGTGGGCACTGACCATTAGGAGGAAGAATCCAAATATTTGGTTTTCCCAGCCATTTGTTTCTCTGTGGCACGGTTATACCTGTGCTGAGTGCTTTTCCACTTACCCCAGCAGGGAGGCTGTCCCTGGAGGCTATGTGATCAACACATCCCAAAGCCATAGAATCCTTAAGGTTGGAAAAGACCTCTAAGATCACCAAGCCCAACCATCAACCCATCCCCAACATGCTCACTAGCCATATCCCATCAGCTCTTGTTCTGGCACATGAGCTCACAGCTCCTGTGAGGAGCTGGGAGGTGTTGGGGAGGTGATGGGGTGGGTCTGCATGGGGGAATGGAGCACGCTGCTGGGAGCATCCCCAGGAACCAGTGGGCTTTCCTCTCTGCCCATCTGCCATTTCTTCCCTTCTGTGCCACGTGAATGTGTTCAGGTGGTGCTTAGCAGCTATTGGCCTCTTGGTTTTTGTCTCTGCTTGAAGCACGTGCTTTGCCTGGGAGCAAGGCCCAAGTTCTTGCTGCCTCCAAAAGGTTGAGATTAGCCAGATCTTACATTGCAATGTCCTTTTTTTTTTTTTTTGCAAAACATGGGGATTTCTCCCTTACTCCTCACATATTTCTGCAATGGGGCAACGTTCCCTGCTGAGCTGGGGTTTGGGTGAGAGGTTCCTCTGGAAGATCTGAGCGTGAAGCATAACTGGAGGAAGTGGGGACAGCAAATGGGCTGGGCATGGTCTGCAACACTCACAGAAATGGCTGTGAAACAAGCAAAATTAACATCAGTGTGAATTCCATAAACAGAATGACGCCTCAGTGAGAGGCACGTGGGAGGAGATGCCTTCCTGGTGGGCACATGGCGGTGGGATCTCCTCTAAACACAACATGCAGCTCCTCCAAGCACAGAGCAGCGTGGATGGTTGTGTTGTGGAAGGAATGCCTTCATGTTCTGGTGTCTGCAGTCCTCGTGGGTTGGGAGGGGGTGCCTTCATCTCCTGCTGCGTTGGTGTGTTCAGGGAAAAGGGAGGTGGATGTCAGCCAGGGAGATAAAAGGTCTAGAATGATTAATTGGGAATTTCATTAGCTGAAGTTCATCACCTTCTTATGGAAATGAAAATCTTTTGTCCTTTTTCATTTGTGCTGTTTTGGCAAATCTGTGGGATGTTGTCAGGCGGGCAAGCGGGGCAGGAGGCGAGAGATGGATGTGTTGGGATGCACATATTTCTATCATTGCCTTTAGCAGAAACAATCTGCGGGTTGATGCACAACCTGATGTGCTGTCAGGTCGGGATGTTGGGGAGGGGACACTGGCAGTTTCTGGAATATCCCTTCTGCAGCTGAATGGGTCCAATTCCACAGAGGTGGGATCAGTAGTGGTAACATATTAGAAGCAGAGCACATTCTTGAGCTCTGCTTCCAGTGAATAGCCGTAGAATGTATTCTTGCAGTCAGTTCCACCCATGTGGAGGAGTGAGACGTTGCTGTTTAACAGCTTCCAGCTGTAGTGCCATGAGATCAGAGCTGGAACTTCTGCCCCAGATCATTGCAGGCCTCTTCCCATTAGAAATAGCAAAATATTTACTTAAAGTGCTGTGCTAAGGCAAAGCTTATCAGCTAAGCAGTGTTGTCATTAGGTTTATTAAACAAGTGGATAGCATACTAATTTATCTCCCTTATGTTTTAATGTTCATCATTAATATACGGCTCGTAAAATTTGGCTTGCGCTGCTGCTTATCTCTTCTCGTTGTGCCCCAAGCAAATGGTTCGTGGCAGGACTGAGGCATATGGCCCATTCACATGGGCTACATGTTGCTGGCAGATAAAAGCCAATATTCACTCATAAAATGATTGATAAACACAGACCTGAAACCTCAGCACTGATCTGCAGGGCATTACATGGGCGGTGATCCTAACCAGGAAAACCAGCATCTCCGAAGCAGGCGAGCAAACAGCAGCACGCCTGCCCCTGGTAATCCATTAATCAAGTAATTAACTAACCCTCTGACGAGCACCTCCTGCTGCTAACATGTGGGTGTGTGAGAGCAGAGTGGTGCGTGAGTGTGGCTGCTCCCCAGTGATGTGGAGTCAGTCTGAAGGGATGAGTTCCTTCCTGTTGATTTATTACTATTATTAATTTTAATTTCTCTTGAGGGGCCTGGTCACGAGCTTTTCCTGATTGAGTTCCAAAAACAGTCTCTGCTCTCTCTCTCCCCTGTATCTTCCCAGTCCTTTTCTTTGTATCAGAGCTCAGAGATTTCCCAAATAGCTCGTTTGGCTAATGAAGCATTTGGGCCAGCAGGAAAGGACCCCAAGAGCCTGCTCCTGCCCCAGGGTGGGCATTCCCCAATTCTCTATTTGCCCAAATAGATTGTGTCAAACCCACCCATCCCACCCCACGTCCTAATCCCATAACCTCCACCTCTGCTACTGCTGCTTTCGAGACCATCTCATCCCACGCTGTCTTCACTGATCCACATCTAGAGTAATGATTCCATTTATTAATGGAAACTATTCCATTAATAATTTTTTTTTTCTCTCACAAAGAGACCTTCGCTGTGTGTATTTGTAGGGAGCTGTCTTGTCTATCCCCTGGTTGTTTCCCATTAAACGTTCCTGTCCCATCCCAATGTCTTCAGCTCTGCTCCATCCCCACACAGCTCCATCCTTCCAGGCCCAGCAGCTCCCAGTAAGAGTGGGAACCTACGTGATGCTGCCAGAGCTCTGGCATCCTCCATCCCATGGGGATCTCCGTGGCTCAGCTGTCTCATGTACCCTTCTTGTGCCCATTTGTCACTACTGTCCTTCACTAAGTGTTCTGTCCATCAGTGTTTCCATGTCTCATCTGATTCCAGCCCCATGCTGGAAGTAGGGTGAGCAGGGTTGGCGCTGCCCTGTTAGGGATCTGGGCTCTCCTGGTGCCCCATCCCCATGGTTCTGTTTCCTCGGCCCATCCTTTTTCTTCTTTCTTCTCCCTGCCTGCCAAACATCCTCTCTCCACTACGTCTTCTTACCTTAAAAGTGACTTTAAGCCCTTCTCTAGTTTTCAGGTATATTTCTGGGTGAATCCTGTTGCTGAACCCTGAACCCTTCCGATGCTGCAGAGAAGGAGAATTTAAAAGTGCTCTGTTTTTGTTTTTTTTTTTTTCTTCTTGATTTTCTTTCCTGCTGATCTCAGCCCGAGGGGTTACAGAAACAACACCCAGCTTCATGTACCCATACGGGACCTCCAGCAGCCAGATGGTGCTCCGAGGGGTGGACCTGTTGCTGGAGTGCATTGCATCAGGAGTGTACGTACCATGATGGGAGTGGGTGGTCACCAGCAGCCCCCATGAGGTGCTCTCATAGCTTTAATGCTGAACTGCTGGTGAAAATACCAGCAATGAATGGAGCACGCCATTCATTTTGTATTAACTGCTATTAACAATATTCCTGTAACTTACTGAAAGGGTAGGAGCATGAAAGCAGACAGGAGAGCTGAGTTCTGCAGCACTGCTCAGAGCAAGAGGTATCTTCAGATACTTGCTGTCCAAAGATGATGCCCCATCAATTTGTCCTTACAGGGAGTTACAGATCTCTCGGGTGGCCCTTTAGCACACTGTATGAAGTGCAGGTGAGGATGTTTGTAGTACAAGCAGAATTGTCCTGGGCATGGGGTGGGACTTTGGCAGCACTTCCCGGGCACAAGGTAGGACAAAAATCCCACTCCTCACCATCTGGTGATGTCCAGGTCCTAGTGGAGGGGCTGTGGTAGGTAAAAGAGTGGCCCGGAGGTCTTTCTCCTTGGGTTTAGAAGGTTTTAAGTGCATGATTTGTATTAGGAAAGTTGTCTTGCAAGAGCTTTTATTTCCTTCCCTCTCCTTAGACCAGCACCAGATATCATGTGGTACAAGAAAGGAGGTGAGCTCCCAGTGGGCAAAACCAAGCTGGAAAACTTTAACAAGGCCCTTCGTATCTCCAACGTCTCGGAGGAAGACTCTGGGGAGTATTTCTGCCTGGCATCCAACAAGATGGGCAGCATCCGCCACACGATCTCGGTGAGAGTGAAGGGTACGTCACTTTTACTTCACCATCTCCTTCACTTTCACAGCCAGAAATTGAGAGGGGAGCTTGGGATCCTCTGGAGGCCATCTGCTCCAGTTTGCTCTGTGTGTAACTGTTCCATCTGTGTGTCTTAAAGCTGCCCCTTATTGGCTGGATGAGCCACAGAATCTCATTTTGGCCCCTGGTGAGGATGGCAGGTTGGTGTGTCGAGCCAATGGGAACCCCAAGCCTTCAATCCAGTGGTTGGTGAATGGAGAGCCCATTGAAGGTGAGCCAGGAAGATCTGCACCTCCTATATGAAAACATAGCCAAGGGTCTCGTGGCTGACCATGGGAGCCAGAGCTGCCACTGGGGCACTGGCTTGGCTGCGTCATGGCCAGCTGAGCCGTGTCTCTGGAGGCCCATCGCATGCCACTGTCTCTTTATCTGGGCTGAGATGTGAAGATGAGTAAAAAAATGCAGCATCTTGTGAGCTTTAATTTAAAATTTAATGAAAAGCGTCCTTTCTGTCTTCCTTATTTCGAAGGTTCTCCACCCAACCCAAGCAGAGAGGTGGCTGGAGATACCATTGTGTTTCGAGACACGCAGATCGGCAGCAGCGCTGTGTACCAGTGCAATGCTTCCAACGAGCACGGCTACCTCCTTGCCAATGCCTTTGTCAGTGTCCTGGGTAGGTGCCTGTGTGGACAGGTGAGCCCTAGTGCACATGGATGAGGAAGGAAACTCTCTCAAAAGGAGTGACCATCAGAATCCAGCAGCGTGTCAGCTCATGAAATGCTTTTCCATGCAGAATGATGGTTAATGCTTCCATTCTTGTGGAAGATAAATGCCCTGTACTCAAGTTTCCTTGCAAGTTATCCCTATATTCTCTGTGCTGTCAGCTACTCTGAGAATGATGTATGTGGGTAGGTGGCCTCTGCAATGGGGCTTCGGGATAAAAGTTGGTAGCCATATATCAGCCAGCACTGTTGGAGCACCTCTGTTTCACAGAGTGAGGTTGGAAAGGGGATGGAAAAGCTCTATTAAGTCTTGAAAAGCTCAGTGTAGAGCCGTAGAGTCATAGATTTGTTAAGACTGGAAAAGACCACTAAGAGCATCGAGTCCACTCATTCAATAGCTGTCATCTTTGATGCTTTGCAGATGTGCCACCACGGATACTGGCCCCTCGCAACCAGCTCATCAAAGTCATCCAGTACAACAGGACCCGGCTGGACTGCCCCTTCTTTGGCTCACCCATCCCCACCCTGCGATGGTAAGGAGTGTAGCACATCCCCTGCCCACCCATGGGGCTGGGAAGGCGGTTTCCTGCTCTTTCTTCCCTTACAACAGTACTTTGTATGGCTGTGAGGTTTAAGAATGGCCAGGGGAACACGCTGGATGGAGGGAACTACAAAGCACATGAGAACGGGAGCTTGGAGATGAGCATGGCTCGGAAGGAGGATCAGGGCATCTACACCTGTGTTGCCACCAACATCCTGGGCAAAGCTGAGGCCCAGGTTCGCCTGGAAGTCAAAGGTAGGAATGCAATGAACTCAAGAGCAAAAGATGCTCTTGGATCACATGAATCTCGCGGCTTGAGCTGTGAGCACTGCAAAAAGAAACACAAAAGATGCATCGGGAATAACTGAAATATATTCAGAATCTTTTTTTTTTTCCCCTCCATTGAGCAAATTTTTTGCTGAGACAGAGAAGTTGGTATTTTTTCAGCATGAATTAGTGGTTTGTTAAAGTAGTTTGTTTGCAAGCATCTGTATCAGAGGTGGTTAGAGGCGAGCAGCCGTCATGCATGCTTGTCCTACCGAGTGACACCACTCTTAAGCTCTGATCGAGTTCCAAGCTGACATGCTGATACTTCCTTTGGGGTGCTTTGCAGACCCCACCAGGATTGTGAGAGGCCCCGAAGATCAGGTGGTGAAGAGGGGCTCCATGCCTCGCCTGCACTGCCGCGTGAAGCACGACCCAACGTTGAAGCTGACGGTCACCTGGCTGAAGGACGACGCTCCTCTCTACATTGGGAACAGGTCTGTGATGAACGCTTCCATCTGTCTTCTCACCAGGATCTTTATTCCCCCACTGCAAAGTGTTTCAGGAGGCACCAGGGATAATAAGGACAAACACTGAGTTCCCATCTGGGCGACGACGACTGTTCTTGATACTTGTAATGTTATTAGCTGAGGATAATAGTGAGGCTGCCTAGCAGTTAAAATTGACTTACCAGTAAATCAAGACATCGACCTTAGGCTTTATTTACAGATATTTTAGGACATCTTGATAAAAACAGGCAGGTTAATAACAAGCTCCTCCAAAGTTAATGTTTATCTGTGCCAGTGGTGTAGCTGTAATTTCCTTTCCACATCCCGAATCACTTCTTGTGAAATAATGAGATGTCATCACAGGACATGAGCTGGTCAGAGGTGAGCCTGCTTTCCCAAAAGTGTGACTCTTCCAGATAAATACCAGAGCAAATTCACTGGTTCTTTAGAAAATGAGGTTTCCAAGAGTAACTCAATGCATCCCCAGTTGATAAAATCTTCAGGCCAGAGATGTACTCCTCTTCTCTTTGGACTCTTTTGTGTATTTTATCAGAGAACAGCTCGTCTTCAATCCTGCTCCTTAATTCTCTTGGGAACAGTGGTGTGATTATTGCTTTCATCCCTTTAAGGATGAAGAAAGAAGACGATGGTCTGACGATATACGGCGTGGCTGAGAAGGATCAGGGTGATTACACCTGCGTGGCCAGCACGGAGCTGGACAAGGACTCAGCTAAAGCCTACCTCACCGTGCTAGGTAAGGCTGTCCTCCCAGTGCACTCAGTGCTTCATCTGCACTGCAGGAGGTTGATTTCACACCGAAAGGTTGATCTGTGGGCACAGGGCTGTCCTCTAAAGCAGAGATGATGCTCAGTTGCTGGCAGAGCAATTATTGGGTTGCTGCAGGACTTGGCAAGGATGTGCAGCCCGATCTCAGCCTCTCTCAGTGCTGTTGAAGGAAACTTGCCTTTGACACAAAAAGAAAAGCAGTTATTACATAGAGCTAAAAATACCCAAATGTGGCCTGCTGAAGCTCACATTTGCAACTGAACTTACTGAATCTCAGGATGCTGTCAACCAGGGGGTGAGTGAACTGCTCGCAGGCCCCCCCCTTTTCAACCCAAAACCCATCCTCCATACCCGTTCACTGCCAGATCTACTCTGAAAACATCCCAAGTCTATCAGTCCCTGCCCTCAACCCCTTCCATTCTTGAGGAGGAACTTTGTTTCTGGCAGTGCCCCAACCCAACGGTGATGCTGGCATAGACCCACACTGCCATACCAGAGCAGGAGTGCAATACAAATCCCATACCCCTAATAATATGACTGGGCTTAATTTATTTCCCTTCCTCTTCCCCTAATAGCTAATTAACTTTCTAATAGAAACATGAAAGAAGGTGTGCGGAGCTGAGGGTCTCTGGGGGAAGGATGTGCTCTCTCTGGTCCCCAGGTGGGATCTGTGACTGTGTGACTTCGTATTTACCAGGTTCTCCTTTCACCACCCAAGCTTAATGACTCAACTAACACTGTTAACATCCAATGTCTTACCTTGCAGCAATCCCTGCTAACCGTTTGAGAGAGTTACCTAAAGGTAATCATCACTAATTCATTCGGTTTATTTTCTTTTGGGTGTTGATTTGGTTTTTTTTTTGCCTTGCCAATAACGCCTACAGAAAATCAAGGTGTAGTGATTGAGCACGCTGGGAGATGGTGCTTCCATGTCCAGCTCAAGTTGTCCTCAAGAACCCATCCAGATGGCCACGAGTAGAAACGTGACATCTCGTTTTTTGACATCTAGACTGGTGACAATTCTAGAGTGCAAGAATCACCCTATCCATAGCTGGAAATGAGCCCTGAGAGTAGAGAAAATAAATCATGTTGAATCCCTTGATTTTTATATGAAAATAAGGTGCTGCTGTTACTGTTGGTGCATGAGGTGGCTCAGTGTGTTGTGACAAGACAGCGGAATTGTGCCCGCAGCGCAATAACCGAGTATGTATTTTCAGTTAGGTTTGGTGTCCTTCCCATTCTATTTGCAATTACTTTCTGAACGGTTGCATGCAGTGTGCTGTAAGATCATATATCCTGCTAAGCCACCATCGTGCTCCCAGCACTAGATAATGTCAGTGCATACAGAGGGCAGCTCAGGTTACGAGGCAAGGCACAATTAATACATGAGCACATTTGTATTTAGTAACAAAACACACTGAGAGCAGAGGGATGTGAGACACGCTGCAAAGCACGTCTCCTCCTGTGGGTCCAGGCCGGGAGAAGGGGTGGGATTGGATGCTGCTGGGATGTTTCAGCCTCATTTATCTCATTATTTGGCCACCAGAGCGACCCGACCGGCCACGGGACCTGGAGCTGTCAGACCTGGCTGAGAGGAGCGTGAAGCTGACGTGGATTCCTGGAGATGACAACAACAGTCCCATCACAGGTCAGTGCCGGCCCCACAGCCACGGATCCTTCGGTCTTCTCCTGTGGGGTGTGGGGAAACCTCCTCATGGTGGGCTCTGATTCCTCCATCCTCCCCTCAGACTACATCGTCCAATTTGAGGAGGACCGATTCCAGCCCGGCACGTGGCACAACCACTCCAGGTATCCTGGGAATGTCAACTCGGCCGTCCTGAGCCTCTCTCCTTACGTCAACTACCAATTTCGGGTGATTGCAGTGAACGACGTGGGCAGCAGCCTGCCCAGCACGCCTTCGGAACGATACCAGACCAGCGGTGCACGTGAGTAGCGGTCATTGCAGCACCTTGGGGTGGATCCCATTGCTGCCATCGCTTTGGGCTGAGTTTTTCCCCTCACTGGGTACAGGAAGGGGGTGAGCTGGTCCATGCAGGTGTTTGCTGGGGGGTGATTTCATAAATTGCACCTCAAGGCTGTGAGGGAGGTCCTGTGGAGCAGCAGGGCTTGAATGGCATGAGTTACCCAGTGGCTCTTCTGGCAGAATCTGTTGAAGGAAGGCTAGTCACACCATACAGAGAAGCTTTCCAAAAGAAATCTTTCATCCTTTCTGACCACAGGAAGCTCTTGGAAAAACAGACTTCCAAATGTAAAGTGGCCACGAGCAAAAGACATTTTGTTCCAAATTTGCTAATTCATTGCCTGCTGCTAAAGCCAGGCAGGAGCCCAGGCTTATGCCAGAATAAAGTGTGCTGCAGTCCACAACCAAGGCTCAGTCTTTGGAGTGTGCCTGGAGCTTTGTGCATTGGACAATGCTTGGGAAAAGTCATATGAGAAGCTCACAGGAAGCTCAGCAGTTTTGCTGCATGTCTCCATTTGACCTTTGTAGATGCAATATCTGCTGGCATCTAGTGTTGGGTTTTGACATTGCTCTTCTTGCTGTGGATGATTCTAAAGGGTCAGACTTGGCTCCTGGGGTTGCTTCACAATGGGTGTCTTTTAAAGATTTAGGACAAGATTTTGGGAGAGAGAAAGGAAAGAAAAAAAAAAAAGTGAAGGATCCTAAATAAGCGACCTGGTTTTCAAGAGTGCTGGAAAGTCTCGTGTTCCATTAACCTGAATGGGAACTTGAAACTTCTGGAAAATCAGGCTATTAACTTCTGTTTTGGAACTAATTTTGACCTGCGCTGTAAATGGGTTTTAACCACAGAAAGGGTCATTTTTTCCAGCACTTTATTTATTTTTTCTCCCCATGTGAATTTCAGGACCTGAAATTAACCCAACGGGAGTTCAAGGAGCAGGGACCCAAAAAAACAACATGGAGATAACCTGGACGGTGAGTTCTTCCTTGACTGTTCTCTGCAATCCAATCTTATCATTATGGTCCCTGATACTAAGATAGAGCTCAGGGTCTCTAGTGCGTGTGATGTATCACACAAAAAATTATCACAAAGGATGAAAGGCAGAAGATACGACTATTAATTGTTAGTGCCAACAAGAAGGCTTGTGATTTAGAAATAGACAAAGAAAAGGTGCTGGATCACAGGTGAAGGTTAGTAGGGATGCTTGCAGAGTGTGGTCCCTTCAGCAAAGACGTGCAGGGCTCTCAGACAGAGCAGCTCTTGGTTTTCTTGGTCGACCAGTAGGTGTCATCCTGCAATAAGCCAAAGCCTGTTGGTAGGCTGGAAACTGAGCGCGGACTGGAAAACGAATAGAATGGAATCATAAGAATTGCTCAGGTTGGAAAGGCCCTTCAAGATCACCAACTCCAACCAGAACCTAACCGTACTACCCGAACTCCATGCAAGTATGGCTTTTGGTTCTGCCTTGGGTTCGGAATGCCAGGATAAGTGTTTTTTGGGGAAAAAAATGTAGATCTTAGAGGTTTACTGATGGAATATGGAAATACGAATCAGCTGCTGAACAGAACTTTTCAGAGCACCAGAGCAGAGAAATCCAGCCGTCTTTCTCTCTCAACTTTCTTTCTCTGCTTTGCTCCATTCAGCCTCTGAACGCAACGCAGGCATATGGGCCCAACCTGCGTTACATCGTGCGATGGAGGCGGAGGGACCCACGTGGGAGTTGGTACAACGAGACAGTGAAGGCGCCACGGCACGTCGTCTGGAACACACCCATCTACGTCCCCTACGAGATCAAAGTGCAGGCAGAGAATGACTTTGGTAGAGCACCAGAGCCTGAGACCTACATCGGCTATTCAGGGGAAGATTGTGAGTATTTTCTTTGACAGAGCTCGTAAGTGTTTCAGAGCTGGAGTCCATCTAATGTCAGTGGGTTGGCATCTGTTCCCTGGGTCGTATTTATAGCGTTGCTCCATTTGGCACAAAAATGCAGTTTCAGGCACTGGGAGAAGGAAGCGGAGTTGTGCTCTGGGCTCTGTCTGCAGATGCCTACGTGACCTGAACCGCTTAGCCTCTCCCTTTTGCTCTGTAAAATATTCAGTGTGGAAGACTTAAGATTTCACCAGGATGAGCTCTGGCTGCATTCCAGCATTTCGTTTCTTTCTCCTGCCATCTGCAGAGCACCAAGTTCATCCCCATCCCTGGAGGCATTGAAGGCCAGGTTGGCTGTGGCTCTGGGCAGCCTGGTCTGGTGGGTGGCAACCCTACCCACAGCAAGGGGGTTGAAACAAGATGGCCTTTAGGGTCAACCCAGGCCATTCTGTGATTCTTTGATTCGTCTTGGATGAAGGGTCTTCCGAGTGGCCAAGAAGGCTCTGGGTCACCCTGGGCTGGGTTCTTGTGCCTCTGACACAGCCTCAGTTATGCCCAGGCTTGGACTGCTGTTTGCAGCACACCGCTGGCTCGACTTATGTCCTTTAAAACTCTCCACTTGCTCATGCAGAAGAGCAGCCAGCTTCTTCAGCTCTCTTTCCCCTTCTTTTTGGACTGCTGGTATCACCTTCTGCCTGTAGTATCCAGGTCTCCCTTCTATGATCCTGTGAGGATAATGCAGCTTGCTGCCAACAACTTTATTTTAAAAGAAATATAAATCATTTCCTCTCAGTGCCTCAAATCAGCAGGGATCCCTGCTGGCTGACTTTGGGGCCACCAAGAGGTAGAAGCACTGCAGAAAAGTACTCATCTTAAAAAGAATACATGCACTGTGGGCCCCTTCCAACTCAGGATATTTTATGATCAGATAAAAAATGTGGAGCATGAAGGTAAGTAATGGAATACTACATACATTGGTGCAGCCATAGTGTCTACTTGACCCAAAGGAGGACAGCCAACGTGTCCAGAACTGGCCCATTGTTGCTCCTCTAAAACTGAATTGAAAGAGGGAGAAACGGCCACAATTTCTCCCCATGAAAAACCTGAGGATGGTCAGGGGACCAGCAGATGGCAGAGCTGGAGCGTGGCTGGGCTGGGCTGGTTGCCTGATATATGCTCTGCTTTGTCCCCAAACACCCAGATCCCAAGGCTGCACCTACGGATGTTAGGATAAGAGTTCTAAACAGCACTGCCATTGCTCTGACATGGACCCGTGTGCACCTGGACACCATCCAGGGACAGCTTAAGGAGTACAGAGTGAGCCAAAGCAAATCTCTTCTCACTGTCTATTAATATGGCTAACCTTCTCACTAGCTGAGCTGGCCCCGCTGATGGAGCCACCTGCAATGGGGATGACAGAAAACTGCTCCAGCCACCCTGACCCTGTGCTGTGGTGCATCCCACAGGCTGAGCTCTGCTCTGGATCAGCACCAGGAGTGAAGCCTTTGGCTGCCCTTCACCACGTCTGGGCAGTTGGTAAATCTCCCTTGGCTCCCTGAGACCTGGGGTGACACAGGGACTGCCCTTAGGCACCAAGGGACCGATTCTAAGGCAGCTCCTGGCCCTAGAGCTGCTTCATACTTCTTCAGATAGGTACAAACAGGCTCAATTTTGTGTCATCCCCAAAGTACCACCATTGTCTTTTAACAGACACCAACCATGCAAAACCTAAACCCAGTACTTGGTACTAACTGGCAACTAGAGGCAGCATAGATCCTGTTTTTTGTTGTTTTTTTTTTAACATCTGATGTTGAAGATTTACTGCTACAGTAAAATACCTGTGTTTATGTGTAGAAGATAAACCCTATTCAAAGCAAACGAAGTCTGAACAGAGCCCCTCTGAGCAGAGTTAAAGACTCTTGATACCAAAAGCATCTGTGCTGCAGACAGCTATAACACTTCAATTCCAATCAGTCACCAAGTGTAAGGAGAGCTCCCTGCTTGCTGCTTTCATTTCTTCTCCCTCTGCTCTGTTCTTCTGGTCTGTTTTCCAAATGAATCTTATTTCTGCATGAAATAAGATTTGCTGTCGGGGCTCTGATTCACAGACTCTCCAAGTTCTGATTTCTCATTGTGGTTGGACATGTCACGCCTTGCCTAACATTAATCTGGGCAGGAAGGGAGAGCTCAGTGCCCAGCAATGAGAGCTGGAGCCAGAAGCAGCTCTTTGCAGCCTAACCTTAATCCTAACCCAGTGCTTCCCCACCTGCCTTGCTGGGAGGTGAAGAGCTCCGCTTTGCTCTTTGCAAAAGGAAAGTTCAGCTGCGCTTTGTTAATGAAAACCAATTGCATTTCAAATGGGAAAAGCTTCATGCCATGCGTGTTTCTTGAAGGCCTATTTCTGGAGAGACAGTAGTTTGCTGAAGAACCTGTGGGTCTCCAAAAAAAGACAGTATGTGAGTTTTCCTGGAGACCGAAACCGGGGCATAGTGTCCCGGCTGTTCCCTTACAGCAACTACAAGCTTGAGATGGTTGTAACCAACGGGAGAGGCGATGGGCCCCGCAGCGAAGTCAAGGAGTTCCCCACACCTGAAGGAGGTACGTGCCTGCCGAGCTGCGATTTCGGGCAGCTCAGGCTCTGCAGAGCCAACCAGGAGGAGCACAGCTCTGCAGCAGAGCTGTGATTTGGCCAACAGCACATAAAGAGGCATTGCTCGGGCTGTGCCGTGCCCTTGGTTTGCTGCCTGACCTCCACGCATCGCCCGCCCTCCCCGCGCTGCGGCGCCGCTCAGTCAAATCCCTGCAAGACCTCAGGACTGAACGAATGTCACCAACCTCCGATTGGGCTGCTCAGCTGGGAGCGCCTCGTTCTGCTCTGCAAAGAGCTCGTGTCAAGGAGGAATGGGAGATTTTAATTTTCTCCTTGTCACGGGAGCTATTTATAGAGGCGCCGATAACTTTTTGTCGGAGCGGCGCTTTCAGCGGCTGCCCATGAATCTTTCTTTAGCACAGATGTTTTTGGCACAGTGCGTTACAGAATTGCAGGGGGAAGAAACAGAGGAGGCTGGAAGCAAATCCTGCCTCAAATAACACAAAATACGATGGGCTCTTCTTTTTCTTCTTCCTGCTGCACGAGAGCACTCTCTCTTTCTCCTGCGCCCTTTCCTTGGATGCTGTCACCATTTTCTGATGTTTTTCACTCACCAGCTTTAGTTCAGCTTGTTTAAAAAGGAGAAGTTCTGTTCCAGGACAGCAGCTTGGTGGGGTGTGCCTTGATTTAGCGCTCACCTAGGGGCTGCAGGCGTGTCGCATTGGGATAATGCTCTTGGCATATGTAAACTATTGATTTTCTTCTTCCTGTTCCACTAAGCTATTTTATTGGCTATATATTGATGCTTGGGAGATGGATATTCTGCCAAACTTCCATTTAAGAGGAAAAAAAAAAGTCATTAATCTCTCAGATCAGTCAACCAAGCTCTTTCCCCACTTAAAGGCACAGCGATTAGGAATAAACCAGGAGAATAATTAAATTCCATAGGTCATAATGCTTTCCTTCCTTTACTAGCTTTGAATAAGCAGCCATAAAAGCAGACATTCCTCAGGGTAAGGACTGCTGTATACCTGCACCGGATTCCCGTTACAGCTCCCCAGACGTTAATAACACAAAGATGCTCTGCAGGAAGAAGTCGTTCTGCTTTTTCTATCATGCCAGCAGATAAATAGATGAGGCATAAACATGGGGCTGGGTGAGAGCAGGGGCAGTAACAAGACTCCAGCAGCAGTAAAATATGCAAACAACATACAAAAAAGGGACACAACTGTGAAAGTGCTCCCTGCGTGGCTGCAGCATCCGTTGTGGGTGCCTGGCTGAGCGTGGTGATGGGGGACAGCAGTCCCCAGTGTGAGGGCATGGTGCATGCTGAGCTGCTCTGCTGCTGGTAACACAGGGCTGGAGCATGATTCCTGGCCTAGATTACTGTTCTGTCAGCATCTGACCTTTAGAGCGTGTTTGTACGTGGTTGAATGTCTTGAGTTTTATCAGGCAGCCTGCGATGTGTACAGTATTGTGAGGTATGTTATCTTGTATGTTTTTTCTTCTTTCCCTTTTCTTCCTGCTCCCATCCTCCTCCCAAGTGCCCAGCTCCCCCAGGTACTTAAGAATCCGACAGCCAAATCTGGAAAGCATCAATTTGGAGTGGGATCACCCAGAACACCCCAATGGAGTCCTCACAGGATACAACCTTAGATACCAAGCCTGTACGTTCCACATCTTATCTTCTTAGTGACAATAGCTAAGTCATTCAGTATTTTCCTTGCTGCTGAGCTGCCTCCTTGCCTAACACCAAAAGCAATCTATAGGGAGTGGGATGCTTCTAACATCAGCTGATGGTACTGAGTCCTGGAGTGCTGCTGGGCACCTGCAGCTCACAGTTGAACACAGAGGGCTGTGGATCCTCAGTAGTTCTCCATCCTCAGCCCCTCGAGGGAAATCAGCTTGACCTCAGGCTCCTGCAGTAAGTGATGCTGCACAGTGTATGGCCCAGTGTGACGTCTGGGGAGCCCCAGGTTTTATCTGAATGCTTGACACTTGTGCTAAGCTTTTCCTTAACCACCTCCACAACCCTGAATGTCCCCAGCAGCATGTTCCCAGACAAGGCATATCTGCCCCCAGCTGCAGGTCCTGCCCTTGGGGACAGGTAACAAGCTGCAGAACCCAAGCTGAAGCCACCACCACCTGCCTTTCCTCCCCAGTTAACGGATCCAAAACGGGCAGAACCCTGGTAGAGAACTTCTCTCCCAACCAGACAAGGTTCACCGTGCAGAGGACAGACCCCATCTCGCGCTATCGATTCTTCCTGCGTGCTCGGACACAGGTGGGAGATGGAGAAGTCATAGTGGAAGAGTCACCAGCACTGCTGAATGAAGGTGAGTGCAGGGCAGCTCCTGGCACTGGGTTGCAGGTGATGATACAAGCGTTGGCCAAGAAGTGCAGGTCAGAGGATCCAATGATCCTCAGCCCAAAGTAACCAGTGTCAGGTAACTGGTGTTTGTCTGCTACCTACTGCAGCAATGGGCAGGCAGTCCTGTGTGCTCTTGCTTGATTACCTTAAATATGTCTCTTTAGGTTTGGATATTAGGAACAGTTTCTTCTCAGGAGGAGTGGTGATACATTGGCACAGCTGCTCAGGGAGGTGGTGGGGTCGCCGTCCCTGGAGGTGTTCAAGAACCGTGGAGATGTGGCACTGAGAGACGTGGTTAGGTGGGCATGGTGGCGGTGAGTTGGGGTTGGATTTGGTGATCCGAGAGGTCTTTCCCAACCTCAGCGAGTCTGTGATTCTTCAGAGCTCAGTGATGCAGCCAGGCGCAATCTCAGCCACCTCTGTAAGAGCCAAATTCAGGGCTGATGATTTCTGCACCGCTGTAAGGAGGTGCACCTCAGTGCCCCTGCCTTGCCACTCTGCAGCCAGCCGCTGACCTCACCCCCACTGCAGAGCCACAGCTCCCAGACTCCTAACGAGATAAAACGCCCCTTGTGAGGCATTCATCACACTAAGTGAAAGTTCAGGAGCCCTGGGGGAACCGGGGAGACAAAAGCCGGCTCTTTCCTTTCTCCAGCATTTGCTAAAAGACCTATGATTTAGTTAGCCCTCAGATTTAATGGAGTTTTTGTCTCCTTTCCTCCATCTCCTCCTCCCCAACTAATGGCTCTGAGTAGGAAAAGCAATTCCTACTGACGACCCAGAGGAAATGAAATGCTTCCTGACACTCTTCAGTGGGCTCCAGCATCACTAATTGATGCGATAGGATCGGAGATGGGGCTGCATATGCTAAAGGAAAAATCAGCAAAGTTGCACATTGGCAAATATGAGAAGGGGGGAAGGTGATGCTTAAAAGAGAAGATTTGCTGAAAAAACAGCTTAGAGCATAGGGATTGGATCGAAGTCATTGGTGCTGATAGTGGTCCAGATTGTATCTTAAGCATTTGCTGGACTGGATTTGTTTCTATATGGTGTCCTTACAGTGACTGTAAGGACAGCATTGCTTAAAAATGCCTGAATGGTGATGGGATATTGCTTAACTGATTTGTATCAGAGAGCAGTGGGTGCAGACTATGCCAGGATGCCAAGGTAAGTGCTGAGGGCTGCAGCCCCTGCAGCATGGAGGGAGGATGGAGCACTGTCATCAGGCATTGGGGAGGGTCAGATCCTCAAGCAAAGTTACAGAAATGAAGCACGGGTTGATTTCAGAACGTGAAACCCTGAGGTAGAGTTCAACATAGGCACGTCCTGATAATGGCAGATGTGTGTGTGCAATTAGCAGCTCTAAGTGAGCTGGGTGTTGCGGTGCTGTTGTGCAGCAGTGTGAAAGGAGAATCTGGAATAAAAGGAGTATAAGAAAGATAAACCCATTGACAGTCAGGGGTTACTTCCTGCTTGCCAGACTCATTCACCTGAGAAATCCAAACAAAATACAGCTTTCTGGGGGTCTGTATGGCAGGCTTCGACTCTCACAGCAGAGGATAAGCCCTGCCCTTAGAGTGACACCAGAAAAATGAAGGCAAAATTCATTGTCTAAACCTGTCCTTGCTGGGATGAGACATAAGCACCTGCTGAAGAGCTTTGCTGAACCAACACCTCTGGGGTCTCTGCCTTGGTGTGTGTGCCACTGGCTCCAAGGGTCTGTGCTGCACAGAAGGGCGATGTGTTGCAGCTAACGCATTGATGTCCTCTCTCTCATGTCTCTGTTGACTGTGTGCAGTGGTCCGAGTCTCCTGTTGGTGTGTTCTGGCTGTTTTATCTATTCCTTTGTTTTCTCTTCCTTTCTCTTCTACGCTGTCCTCGTATTCCCCTCTCTATCCTTGGCGCTGCCCTCTGAAGCCACGCCAACCCCAGGTATTGTACCAGCGGAGGAGGTAACAGGCATGGGGCAAGGCTCACCCGCTCGCGTGCGCTGCCAATTAAGCATGCACTCCATTAACCCTTTCAATGGGGAGGTGAAGCAGCACGGGGTCTAAATTGGGCACGTGGAAGGACGGCAGGTAGCACCGCAGGCGGATTAATGGTAGCCAAGCAAATCTCGGAGCCAGCTAGCCCGAATGATGAGGTTGTAAAGCCCAGGTCTGCACCAGCCTTCTCTCTTTTCAAGCCTCAGCATCCCTGCTCTGAGAAATGCAGAGAAACCTTCACCGGCGGTGCCCACCCTGTTAACTAAACGTGCTGCTCTTTTGCCTCCTGGTGACCATTGAAAGGGTAAAGGACAATGTTTGTGCCACAGCTGTGCATGTCTGCATGCGAGGCTATCGCTAGCTTTGCCCTCTACTGCGTATTTTACACCAGCATTGAAGCACAGAGAAACCTTTCCTCAGCAAGGAGTACACGCCTGCTTCTACAGAACCCAAACCCCAATTAATCCAGTGTCCAACTACCCAGCGTCAGCAATGCAAAGCACTACCAGAATTTCTTGTTGCCCAGAGAAGGACACCTACTTCTTATAAAGCTGCAGCCAAGACTTCTCCTCCTCGAATGCTGTATTTCCACAGGGTTATACAGCCCTGTAAACAGGAGCAGTGCTAGGGGATACAACCAACCCCTCAGTGCTGCAGAAAAGCTTTGGGGCTGCCCTGCACGAGGGTGCTGTATGAGGTCCTGCTTTGCCTTTGCTGGGTGCAGCCCTGAGCCCCTGGGGCTTTCAATGAGGAACAGCTTTGTAGCAAACACTGCCAAAGTGATGCAAGTGCAGGAACTGCTCTGTGCACCCTTAGGTTTTGCTTCCCCACCTCGTAGGCGTTTCTCTTCCTCCTCCTCTTCCTTTCATTTTGTTGGAGTGATGTCTCTCCTCAGTATTATTTTGCACTTTTTCCCTTCTGAATAGTTGCCAATCCTTTTCCAACTGTATTTTCCTTAAATATACATATATCCATATACATGAGGGGCTAACAGATTGGTCTGCCTTGGCTGGTGGGAAGCTGAAAAGTGGCACAACCTCTTGGCTCAGAGGAGCAGAGCTCCTGCTGCAGTCAGGTCAGCCACAAGAATCCACCTTTTCTTCCAAAGGACTTTCCTGCTTTCAGTGGTTATTTCTCAACTCCAAAAGCACAATGCAATCTCTTTATCCTTCCAGCATCAATGCAGAAATAACTCTTGGACTACTGGCAGCCAGGTGAACTCGTTGCTATCCAAAGGATAAGATCATTAAATACTGCTGGAATAGGGGGCGTTCCTCTATTTTTACTTTCTGATAGGAGAAATGGCACAGAGGAAAGATAGGTGAGCACTGGAAGAAGGCTGAAAAGCCATAACCGAAGCAGCGGTGCTCACTGGGCAGCAATCTGCAATGTAATTCTCCAAGAGGGATGAGGGCAGGGGAAGGTGTAGCACTATTAGGAGCAAATCCTCATCTTGATACTGAGCCAAGCATCATTCCTTGTTAGGGCTCATCCCGGTGCTGCAGGACCAGCTGTGCCCTGTATTGGTGTTGGTAGCGGGGTTGCTGCTCCCCTTCCCAAAAAATACAGCCCTCCAGTGAATGTTGCTTAACCTTTCTCAAATGATTCCTCTCTGCAGGGTGGATTTTGTGGATTTTATGGATTCTTGGGGAAGGTTGCCCAAAAGTGCGCTATGATGCTCTTTGCCGTGGGCTGTTGGCTCTAAAAATGGCCTTGTTTTTTTTTTTTCCCCCCTCTCTCATGGGGTCATTGCTGCTCTGCAGGCCCGTGAGAAAGTGGGCCGAGTTGATGGAGCCAAAGTGAAGGGCAGAGACTTTACCTTAGAAAGGCTTTGGGTTTCCTGAGCCACAGCTGGACGAAGGGTGAGGTAATGTGGGGAAAGGGTGGCACACAAAGGGCTCTCGTTTATGCTATGAATGACACCACCAAAAGGTGCATCCCATAATAATTCCCAGTGTCCATCCCTTCATCAGGGACCGTAAGAGTATTGGCCTTAGACTTTTTTTTTTGGGGGGGGGGGAAAAAAACCCAACACATTGATTTGTTTGTTCCCTTCTCGTTGCTCCATAACGACGAAGCAGAGGAGAAAGCCCCGATTGTTCATTTTGGAAAGGGACAGCAATAGAAATACAGAAAACTGCTGACCCTTCTCTTTTAGAGGGCATTCAATTGCTTCTTTCTGCTCTCGAATTTCTTAGAGCTGTCAGATTTGGTGCTTTTTTGTTGTGTTTTTTTTTCCCTTCTTTTTGATAACGACTTAACAATCTCCTTCTGTTGCCACAAACTGGGAGAGGGAGAGAAGTCTGCAAACGTATTTGGCTAATCATCTGAATTCATGAAAAATTCATCAAATTTCTCCAAGCCTAATTATTTTGTAGACACACCCAAGGGAAAGCTGTTACCGCAGCCTAACAACACATTAAAAGCACCTTTAAATAATTAAAGAGCAGTATGGCTGGGCTATTATTATTATTATTATTATTTTAGTATTTTACAAAGTCTTGCCAACTGCTCACCCAGCCCCCACGCAGCTTGGAGCAGGGTTCAAGCCCCTCTCCCACGCCTTGAATTCCCCCTTTTTTGCTTCTATGTTTCTTCCTTGCAGCATTGCCCAATCCGAGCATCCCCAGTTTTGATGACTATCCATTCCCAACCATACGAGCTGCACTGCTGCTAAGAGAGCAAACCTACTGGCAGCCCTCCTGCTGCACCCATCACTTACCCTTTTAATTGCTACAGCCAGACTGCTGCATCCCTTGTCCATTATAGCAGCGTCTCCTCCCCACCGTGCCCCTTGGTCTCCATTACCAGGAATGCTAATGCATCTTGTAGACAGAAAAAGCAATCAGTGCGTGGCAAAGATGGGGCCGATTTATGAGCTAACTCACATGTATTTCCAGGAAGAGGAGCTCATCCATGTAGGCAGCCATATGCTGGCTTTCACTTGGGGTTTTCTGGATGAACTGGGGCTATTTGAAGCCTGCTCCCCTCCACACACCATCTTTCAGGGTGCTCTCTACCCTGCATTAGGAACGTGGCCGCCCGTTCTCGGCAGCACCTCCTGCAAGCAGGGAGTGCAAAAAGAGAAGTGCAGCTACTCTGCCAAGCTCAGAAATGCTATAAGCCATAAATGTTACCCCTGCGTTTTTGGAAGGATGCGCACCATTTCTAGACGGGCATCATCTGGCAAAAGCAAGCAGTTGGTTTGAGCAGATCCGGAGCTGTCAGCCATGATGAGCAGAGCCCAGGTTGCAGCACGGGGCTGTGGAGGGGATCTCCTTTCTTTGGGGGCAGCGGGGAGCTCTGATCTTCTGTCAAAGCCGTCTTTACCTCCCCCCAGCCTGAACTCAGCTCTCATTAGGGGATGGATTTCAAAGGCTAGCAAATGCCCCTTATCTTCTCTCCCCCAAATCTACCAGCTGAGCTTTTCCTCCGCATACATTTCGTATTCAAACACAAATGAGGCTGCAGCTGTGAATCCCGAAGCAGAGAGGACCAAATCCCTCAGCCCAGCAGGAGCCCCGCTTCCCTCCTCCTGCCCGGTGCTGCCCACATGTGCTCCCCTCGTTGACCTCCTGCTTTAACAAGGACTTAACCTGCTGCTAGAGCCATTGCAGCGGTGCTGGGTGACGCACACCGAGCGCTCGGGTGCAGCGTGATGGATCAACATGGGCTGGGAGCTGGGCGTTGGAGCAGCCTTACAGCAAATTGCCTGGGGCTCTGTTGTGTTGTCTTTTCCTTCGCTGTGAATCAGGGATTCACAGAGGAAGTGGTGAGGTTGCATTAGCTAATAGCTAGCTTCCACTGCTCGGGTTGACTTTGGACGTTGTAATCCTATGGAGGAGTTGCAGCAAAATTGCATTAGCGGTAACCACGCCGATGGCTTCACCTTCCAAAAAATGGTCATACCTCTCGCCCTATTTGTAACCTACAGCCTCAGGACACAGCAAAGCAAAGCTTGCCAATGAGCTGAGATAAAGCAGTGCAGAACAGCAATTTTGCTGTCACAATGAGATTGTTGGGGTTTTGCTATGCCCCGTGCGCCCACGACAACCAAGTTGTGCAATGTTCCAGCCTGGCTCCCGTCACTATCACTGGGTTGGGATGTGTTCCACAATGCTGGAGTGTTTTTAGGGGGGGTGGTTGCTCCATTCCTGTCCCACCCGGTGCTGCATTGCTGCATGAGGCTTCTGCAAGGCTGCGTTGGTCCCTGCGTGGGGTGCCGTGGGTTGCATTGGGTTTGCTGTCATGGTGTGTGCTGCTAACGGGGTTTGACTGCAGCTGCATGCAGTAGGGAGGTGGCCACAATGAGCCTTGGGACTGCTGGGATTTTAGAGGTTGGGGTCTCTTGGGATCTTAGCTGCATTCTCTCAGAACTTTCCTGCTGTGCTTGTGGGCTTGAAGGGAGGTCTGCTTCCATACAAGCCAACCTGGGACTGAGCTGGTGAAAAAGCAACCCTGGCTTTGATCTCGGATGGTTTTTAAAGCACATTCCTCACGCTATTCTTATTAGTGGGTGATATTTGTAACAGCCATTTTCATTTGCCTGATGGGGATTTGTAATCCCTTGATCTGTAGTAAGAGTAAGTAAATACAACTTAATGCAAGCACCACGGGATTTCCTTTACTCCAGGCAGTTTAAGCAGCTCCTCGGCTGCGTTTTCTGCTGGCAGGTTTTCAGGCAGCAGAAATCGCCTTTACAGAGCAACGCTCACTCATACCTGAGAGCATTCAGCAATGGTTGCCAATGTCCCCTTCCATCAGATGTTAGCCAGTGTACTGCCATCCCCTCTGGAAATTCCCTCTGTGTTCCCATTAGCAAAGCCAGCTGCAGCCCCCTGCTCCAGTTGAGGGCTCTGGTCCCATTCCTGGCCACTGAGGATCACAGCTCTGACCCAATATAAAGCTGGAAAGATGTCCTATTGCCTCCTCAGCTAGCCCAACCCATGCACCTTCCTTTGGTGGCATTTAGGAAGTTTTGCAAGCGCACAGAGGGGTGCAGACATAATGTGCACATTGACCTTGTTGCTCACAGCGGAGGTGAGATGTGCATGGGGCAAATGGGGGCTAGTTAGAAAGGCAAAATTGTACTGACTTCTCATTTGGAAAGCTTAAGGCATATCCTACATTAAGTGTAAATTTTGAGGAGCAGTTTGATGGCAAAGCAGGACCCTGAAGAGCTACACCCACATTAATGCTAAGGCTGCTTCATCACCATCCTGCAGGACCCAGTACACAGAGCAGCAAGAAGGAAGCAGCTAAGGAGCTGCAGGGCAGATTGGCAGCTAAATAACGCAGGGGCTGCCAAACTCATTGAACTGGGGTTCGCCTGGCCCGCAGCAGATGGGCTTTTCCTATGAGCTCAGTCTGGGTGCTGCTCCTACTGATTGCGATGGGGAAGGGACGGCGGGTCTGCGAGGTGCTGTGCTCGATGCTTCCCCTCTGCTCGGTGTTGGGAACAATGTGTGAGAGCCCCAGGAGCCATAACTGCTTCTTGACAGCCAGCGTCTGCCTTTCCCTCTGCCAGCCTCCACCTGGTTGCCTCCACCTACAACTGAGCTAACTCCAGCAGCCACCACTGCCACCACCACCGCCATCCCTACTACTGAAACCCCTCCTACTGAAATCCCTACTACTGCCATCCCTACCACCACCACTACTACAACCACCACAGCTGCCAGCACCGTCGCAAGCACTACAACAACTGCAGAGAGGGCTGTGGCAGCCACCACAAAACAGGAGCTGGGTACTGCGCTTTCCTTTTCCTCTAACCCCTTCTAACCCTATGGGACCTTTCCCACTTCTTGCTCAGGGCGAGGATTAATAATGGGGATGGAAAAAGGCATTCCGTGCTTTGGGAATGGTGTTACAAGGAGCCAGAGGTGGTACAGGCTCAGGGTTGTGGCGGCGATTTGGGGGTCTTGCTGCCCAAAAAAGGGGTAACACAGCTCTGCCTGGGATGTCGTGATGTTGAATTAGCATCAGGGTTGGGAAGGAGGTGGAAGACCCTGTAAAGTGTTATCTTACCTTTATTGTCCTTAAAAAGGGGTTCTGCTGCTATTATAGACGATGTCACTTCGAATTTAGCACATCAGCTGTTAGAGAAGAGAGCTGTCACAGCTCATAGGAGTCTTTTGGTTCATGGTGCTGCTCCCTGCATCGTACCCTGCTCATAGCCCACGGGGAACCTGGGCAGGTGGCTAAAGGTACAGCTGTGCTCCAGGTGTTACCCAGCTCACCACGCAGCCATTGTGCAGTCAAGCAGAGCAGGGTGATCAAACTGCATTGGTGTGGGCATATTCTCTACTTTATATGGGGAGAGGTGTCCCTCTGAGCCTTGCTTCTAAAGACACCGCGATGACAGGCTCTCTGGTTAATGAATGATGGATGGTTGTATTTGGGTTGCTCAAAAATGAGTCAAGGGAGCACAGCCAAAGGAATGCAGTTATGTAGCTGGATAGGATGCACTCCAAAATGTAAGAGCAAAAGCTACAGAACTCTTTGTTTACTCTTAAAAGAAGGAAAGGAGACTGTAGTAATGAATATTAAACTTGACACTGGTTTACTTCAAGGAATTTGATAAAAGGAATTCAAGCCACTTTATGCCTAAATTCAGCTCAAGACCATTAAACCCAACACCCAACGCATGCTGGGAGGCCCTGGGTCCATCCGAGAGGCCCTCTGCAGTAAGAGAGATCTGAGAACCCACAGCACATCTCCTCCTCTGCACTAGTTTGCTCCTTAAGGCTGCCATCCTGACTGAGGGAGCACAGATTCATGCTCTGGTTCATGGCAGGCAACCCTCCCAGGGGCAGCTCCAAAGCCACAAGCAAAGGGAACACGGATCTGTGCTGCCCTAACAAAACCAGTTTAAAAACTGGTGCTAGATAGCAAGATGCAACTCCAGCATTATGAATGAATCCATAGCACTGAAGCAGGTTCACAAAATCGTTACCAGAACACGGTCACAATTCAGCGAGCACGTGGGAGATGCTGCTTACTGAGACCAGGTGATGGAAATGGGAGGAAAGGAGGCAGAGGAGCAGTGAGAGTCCCTAATGGCCCCAGGGCCATGAGCCCAGAGCCCGACCCTAATGTGGGCAGACAGAGAGACTCCACCACGGGCTCCAACCCCCATCCCAAAAGTCTCACAGCTGTCCCTGTTGCAGGAATGGAAGGCACTCCTCTGTGCAGCAACCCAAAACTGGAGCTACACCCCCTAAGTAAACAGCACTAATAGCAAAACGGAGGTGTGATGCATCTGACGGGACACGCACGCATGCTAAATAGTGGATTAGCTCCACTTCACCAGAAATAGAAGTTCATCCACTCTCCAAAGCAATGTCGACAATCCTCAGCTTCAAAATCAGAAACGAGTGACTTCATTGCCCCACTGGCTGTCTGAGCCCCAGTCAGATGAAGGCGTTTACTCCCAGTTGTGGCAGTGCGGCTGTGTGCGCTCACGCATGGATCTCCTGTGTTGGTTTAGGCATGAGTTTAGCCAGGAGATTTCCTTACGGACCAAAATCCACACAGAATTGCCACAAAAGCCAAAATTTCTGAGATAAACTGAGTGCAGTTGGACTTAAAACCCAGCATGCCATGAGGTACTGAACTTCCTCCAACATTTGGAAGTCAAGGTTTTCGTAGGAAACGATTACATCTTCAGGTACACTCATAGGTTAAGACTGAAGCATCAATTTTAGGAATGATTTTATAGGATTTTACCAACCCTGGCTGCTAGGTGAACTCTCGTCTCGGTATAATCCTAAATACTAACTCCTGTTCTAACCTATTCACCAGCCACCAATGGATCGTCCATATGGGACATAAGAGCTTGGGCTAATAGTAACTGGGCAAACATCACCTGGAGCCACAATTACTCTGCAGGAACTGACTTTGTGGTTAAGTATATCACCAGTAAGCATCAGATCGCGTGGGGAATCTATAGGGTGGTGATGCTGCTGGAGATTCTGCCAGCTCCCGAGGCTGCAATTGCTAGTCTTAATTACTGTGCATTCCGTGTGCTCGTGGTTGTAAGACATTCATACTCATGAACCACCGATGAGCACAGCTGTTTTTCTGGGGGCTGTCTGTGGAGCTGGGCTTTATGTAGTCTCGGCATAAAGAGACTTGCAATGTATCTACTTGTACGTATAAAACAATCGTTCACAGAAAACAAATAAGACCGACACAAATTGGAGGGCAGGGTTATACATCTCTGGAGCAGGACTTGCTGAACCTGGAGCTGGCAGAATCACCTCTGACCTCCTGTCGTATCGGATACCTTTGTCTCTTGCAATTGTAAGGCTGTCCGTGGAAACTTCGAGCTGATATATCTGCTTTTAGTGCTCGTTTAGAACAGGCATTTACATGCTGGTTTGGATTTCTTGTAGATAGGCAGCGACGAGCGCTGCTTATCTCTGTCTTTATTTCCCAGCCATTTCAGCCTTATTGTATGGCACATCGATCTTAAATTGGCATTTTAAACAAACAGTCATCAACAGCGAATCACTTCTGGTCACACACTGAGAGCTGACGTTGCTGCTTACTTAAAGCAGCTTGGGAGGCACCATCAGTGCCCGCTCTCGCTCTGCAGCCTTTGTTATCGCGACAGAGAAAGGCACCATTTTCCCCCTTCTGAACCATTTTCCACAACTGGGGATACAAACATTGGATGTCCAAACTCTAAAGGCCAAATAGCCCAGCTCCAAACTCATCTCCTCCCAGCCCAGCTGGGCTGCAGCATCCAGCCCATAGAAAGCATCCTTAGCCTGCAGGCACAACACTAAGCACAGGAGCTGGTCCTTTACCCAGCCCTGCAGCGCAGCAACTGAATGGGACCAGGCAAATCCCAGACCTCTGTTACAAGCACTCAAACACCCAGACCTGCGGCTGGGCAGATAAAGCATCTGTCAGGTCTTCAGAATAGGGAGAAATCTGATCAGCTCTCCGTTGTTTCATTTTTAAGTACAGCAAGCAGGGACGCAGCAAACCACCTCGCCGTTTTCCTTCTATCTGAGGGATAATCACAGCACTGCTCATAGCCCCCCGACCACCGTGCTGTGTTATTTCTGCTTGCTGGCTCAGGCCAGCACGATGCAGCGCCTGCGGTGCCAGCACAGCCACCTCCCGCGGCTGGCTTTGATGTGCGGTTTCTGTTTCTCAGGTAACAAGACAGAGAAATCTATCCCCGTTAAAGCTCAGACCCCCTCCTCTGTGCAGCTGGCCAATCTGACGCCGGGGATGGTGTACAAGCTGTGGGTGTTCCCCATATGGTCTAGCCCCAGCGAGCATTCGTACATAACCTTTACCACCAGCTCAGGTGAGCGGGGCTGCGTGTCCACTGCATGTCACTGCGTCCCCACGGGTGGCACCGGCGTGGTGGTGGGAGGGGGACGAGCACAACCCTGCCCTTAAGAGCCAGCCGAGCATCCTGACTGCACTGAACAAAGGGCAAAAGGAAGGGGTTGAATCAGGGTGAGGAGCACGTGCATGCACCTTGTGGCGCTGCGCATGAGTTGGGGACGGCACCGCAGCCACGCATGGTGCGGGCAACGGCTCTGCAGCTCGGTGAAAGGCAAGGTATGTTCCCCCAGCAACTTTGCATTTAATTGCACAAGCAATTTTCCAGGCTTATCACCTCAGTGATTTTTAAAGCTTCCTAATTATGGGCTTCCCACACTGCCCACTGAATGCCCCAGAAGGAGCCTTACTGACTTCCACAGGCACTCCATCAGGCTTTATGCGTTTCTAAAGCATCCCTGTTGACACACGATGAGTGTCAGTAAATCACGACGCCCGTGCTTCCCTTTGTGTCCGCTCGTGGGTTGTGCCGTAGGAATCTGTGTGCAATGCTGTCCAAGCACAGGGCTCAGCTCTGCACAGCAGCTGTGTGAGCAGCACCGGAGCAGCCCACGCTGCAGTAGGTAAAGGCTGAGATTTCAGAGAACTGAGATTACTTTGCTGAGATCCAGCAGCGTGATGGAGAGCTGAAGCATGAAAACCATCTCTTTGCTCAGGAGCAAAATGTTCGTTCCCAGCAAAGGAAGGCTGCAGCAGCAGCACCTCTCCCCACCTTATTCCACGCAGCCCAAGTGCTAGCAAGGCATTGCTCCATCAAATAATTCCCTAGTGTGCTAAGCAGGGACAGAGGGCAGCTGTTGGTAACCCTGTGTCCAACACAACCCAATGCTGATACTGCCTCAGGCACGGCAGCATGGTACACCTCTCCATGAGGATGTGCAGCATCCCCAGTTTCTGCTCCCAGACTGACTCAGAAATTGCCCCCAGGTTGCAGCCCCCTCACCCATACCATGCAACACCTTTCTGCATCACTGCACCCCAGCTCGGACCCGTCTCTTCTCTTCTCTTGCAGCTTTTCTCCCACTTTGGGTGTCAGGGTGGAGGACCACCAGCACCAAGGGGTGGGAAATCATTAGGACAGGAGGTCACATCCTTGGCTGATTGATGCTGGCATGGCTATCTGCAGTAATTTATGGGTTTCTACTGCTGTTACTGAGACAATGCACAGGGGGCACCCAACCCTGTCCCCACAGCTCCATCCCTGCCCATTTTTCACTGCTAGATTCTGCTGAGACGGGTGCTCAGCCCCCGCTGACAATCACATGCTGCAGGAATGCTGGTGATCAGAGAGCCCTGTTCATTTTGCTTGTTGGTTGCAATGTTTGCCAAATAGCTGTTCTTCAGATCGAATGCAGATAAATAAGAGGTCCACGCGCACCACGCCTTCTCTTCTGCTTAACTTGACAGCTCAATATCCCAAAAGAGCTCTTTCCAATAGTAAATGGCATTCAAACTACAAATATAGCTTAATGCAAATTGTCTTCTAAATTCAAGAAGCAATGTAAAACGCTGAAGGGGGATCTGTGCAGGACTGCAGCTAGCTGGGCTTCACGCACCCAATTGCTTCACAAACGTGACATAAATTTTGCTGGCCTGCTGTCAGAATGCAGTCAGCTTTCCTACTGGCGTATAAACCACGACTGGTGGGTAACATGTTTTCTGCCACAAGATTATAATTACTTTTTCTTTTACCAAACAAAAAAAAAAAAAAGAAAGAAAGAAAAAGCCACTGCAGTTGCATTTCAGATCAATACCAGTTCGATGCCACAGCTGCTTGCCACTATTTACCCTTGGCGTCGGCCTTACATTAACACAAATCAGAACACTCTCTCTGACAGCCGTGTGCTTACCCTTCTCTTTCCGAATGCTGCAATGACAGTCACTCGTTTGCTCCAAAAACAAGATTGCTGTGACTATGATTTGTCGGCACGTGTTGCTTTTTTGGGAAGGATGGCAATCACACCCTGACCTCCGTGGCATGCAGGATCCCCTCCGTGCAACCAGCTCAGCCCTGGTCAGCATGGAGCTCAACCCTTGGGCACACTTGAGGCTTTGAAGAGCCCTTCGTTCCCCCTTAGCTCTGCTTTCTGCACAAACCCCACCAGGGCTGCTAAAACCACCTCCTCCCATTTCGAATCTCTCCAGTAGAGCTCTGTTTCTCTTTCCTCCTCAAGCACTTGAGTTAATTGAATCCAATTCTCAGCTCCTCTCTGTTCTAATCTCGTTCTCTCAACTACAAACAGTCCATCTACGCAGCTCAGGTTGTTTTAAATACCGAGCGTGGCAGTATTAAAGGAAAAAAGCAACAAAAGAGAGTCAAGGCAGCACCCTCCCACCCAAAAAGCAGCACCGAGCGTTCTGCATCCAACATCATTTCTTTAACAAACGGTACTTTCTTGTCAATCTCATTCTCTCCTCTTTTATCTGCGATTTCTTTGCGTCGTGCTTTGGCTGCAATTATCTGCCGACAGCGGGGCTCAGATTTCATCTTAAGGAAAGCACCTGTTATCTCAAGTCAGTTTGGAAAGAATGAGTTTGGAAGGAATAATAGGAAGCGTACTGAGCGTGCTGTCCAAGGGCTCACTCACTGTAACTGCTCCTGGAGCAGAGGATGGTGGGTTTAAATCCAATTATTTCAAGGCAGCTCCACAAGACAGTTGCGTGTGCTGCCTCCCAGGTCTTGTTGGCTGGAGTTGACTCATCTAATTAAACCAGGCAAAGTCTGGAAGCAGCAGCGCATCCCTCCCTAAAACTCCACAGTGCCAATACCAGGGAGCAGCAGCAGCAATCCCATTGCTTCAGATTGCTTTTTGGCACAAAAGATGCTCCATCCTGCCCATTTCGGGCAACCCCCCACCCCCCTATTAAGCCCCTGATTTGATCCCATCCAGCTCAGAGCTCCAGGAACACCTCTCTGCCTGCTCCGCAGCCTGGTTGCTCTCAGCCCCCCGCTGTGCTGAAGGTTATTTTCTCCTCCACTCTGTCTTGCTGAATACCAACCGTGTGTCAATGAGAGCCTGAGAATGGCAGCTCGGTGCTATTTATAGGAGACAGATGTGCCGGTCTGACCGCACACGGGTGCTGCATGCAGCACGGCAGGGCATGGCTGCAGGAGCAGGACGCCTCCCCTCGCTCAGTGTCACACCAGATCGTGGGACAACGACATCCCAATGCTCCCAAACCACGTCTCAGCAAGCTGGGATGTTCCTTGAGGATATAATTGGTAACCCTGCCCATGGCAGGGGGTTGGAGCTTGATGCTATTCAAGATCCTCCCAGCCCAAGCCATTCTATGATTCTATGACCTCCCAGAGCTCTGCACTTGCTGCTTGCTCATACATTGGCCAAGCTATGCACGCCAGGACTGCATCTTTATCTTTGGGCACCTCGATCCCAGACCTCCAGGGCTGCTTTCAGTGCAGGATTTGCAAGATCAAATCTGTTACCCAGCTTCTTTTGCCATTACTTTCAGTGCCTTTTCTCACCAGTCTCCGCTAGGTTTTCCTTTACGCTGTGACCCTTTGCTGTTTGTGGCTCCTGCTAAAAATGCTGAGTTGACCCACCATTAAAAAAGCCACAGATCCCTGTGCTATGGCATCTGATAACCCAGAAAACACACACACACATACACACATATATATATACACAAATGCAGTGCTACAGATAGCGTGGACTGAGTCCTTCTGGTCATTTGTTTCTCCCCACTGTCCTGACTTCCCCTTAGAGCTCTTTCCTTTCTCCATTTTCCTCCCAGCTTACACCAAGAACCATGTGGACATCGCGACCCAGGGCTGGTTCATTGGGCTGATGTGTGCCATCGCTCTCCTGGTCCTCATTCTGCTGATTGTTTGCTTCATTAAGAGGAGCAGAGGAGGGAAATACCCAGGTAAGAGGACTGCGGGGTGATCCTTTGTGCTGTAAATATCTCCAGGCTTCAGAGGCAATCAAACCGCTGCTCTGATACGTGTTCATGATTTCAAGCACTTTCCTTCTTCCATAGTGGGAACGCTGTTATTAGTGGGAAGCATTTTAGTTAATTAAAGGGCGGGTGAGGGCTGTGTGCTGTGCAGGGAGCTGGATGCTGCTGCTCTGCCTGACCCCACCTCTGCTCTGCAAATCTGCTCAGCCACATCCAGAAAGAGCTCTTTTCAGGCAGGGAAAAAAAAAAAAAAAGCAAAAAAAAAAAGCTCATTAAATTTTTGCAAAGCAAAGACAAGCACTTAAGAAAAGTCACTTTCCATCGTGTGCCGGTGCCCCTGGTGCCACTGCAGCAGGAAGTCTGAGAAGCAGCCTGCAAGTCCACCCAGCTGCACTTCACCTTGCAGGCTTACTGACGGGGATGCTGGGGATGTGTTTGCTTACAGTGCGTGACAACAAAGATGAGCACCTGAACCCTGAGGACAAGAACGTAGAAGATGGCTCGTTCGACTACAGGTATGCTCCCTGGCATGGACCCACATCCCCATCAGCCCCATCACAGCCCCTCACTGCTCTCCTCCTCCGCAGCCCCACGGTGCCACGCAGCCTCCTCGGTTATTTCTCCCACCTTTCTCCTCCTGCCTCATTCTCTCTGCAAGTCCTCTGCCAAAGGAAACGTTTCCTAAAGCTCCTAAAGCAGGGAGTTGGCTGCAAAGGTTTGCTTCTGGGTCAGTCCAGGAAGAGCTGGCATGCTGTGACCCAAGACGTGGCTCTTACAGATCACACGTGGAAAAAAGGTGCTAGAATGAATTCCTGAAGCATCCTGTGGATATCTCAGGGACATCACCCCATAGCTCAGCCTCTCTCCTGCTCATAGAGGAAGAAGTGCCCAAAATCATGCTAAGAACAGCCCCGAAAGCATGCAGGTGCGCTTGCCCAGGCTTCAAAGCAAGGCTTTGCCCCAAGGTCCCCAGGGAAACCCTTCTCAAACAGCCCCTGGAGTGCTGAGCACTGATCCTGCTCAAACCACTCCGATTCTCCTCGCCTCCCAGCAGCCCCTTTTGAGCAAGAAGGAGCAGCACCCATCTTTCCTCCTGGAAAAGTTCCTAGGATATTTCAGAGGGGGATCAGCATCTCACAGCCATGTCAGTGCCTCCAGGGAGCAGGAGCAGGTAATGTGTCAGGTCTCATTGGATCGCCCACACTCGACAGATGACAAGGATGTTTTACAGTACACCCAGTTTGCCCTCTGAGCACCTACTGTGTGCTCTGCTTTTTGCTGAAGGATTTAAATGCACCTTTCCATCAGAGCTGGATCCACAGCCCAATTAGTCTGGTGGGAGTTCTTCCTCCTGACTTCAAAACAGGGGTTAATTAAACCCTATGTCATTACCAGCACTCCCAGCATTACAAATTGATGTAGCCAAGATGGGAAGAATTTACTTACAATTCAGTGAGGGATGTAACAACTCACACATGTTCCACCAAAGACTTCAGAGGGAGCAAAATGAATAGGTCTGCCTGCACACAATGCATAAATGAAAGCAGAACAACTGCATTCCTCTGTACCATCACATTTATACTGTTAGTAGCACAGTAACCACATTAGGTTTTTCTCCAATGGATGTCAGAACACCAAAGCTCCCCACTTTTCTGGTAGGAATGGTAGAGAATACAAATGTACCTCAATGGGAACCCAAATAGGTACTGCAGGAAGAAGTCACCATTTATTGCCCTTCGCACCATGCAGGGGCAACACCTTCAAGCTATGGATAAAACCTTTAGGTACAGAAAATAATAGCTTGATCAAGAAAATCTACTGCTGATTTCCATACTTCGACCATCCCACAATGCAGCAACTCCTGCTTAGCTCAATCTCAGCCTCTTACTGACAGCCCCACTGCCATGAGCATGCAGAAAATAGAAGGGCAACGAGAGCAACAAGAACAGGTATCGTTCACATAGGAATGACTGAAGCGTAGGAGCTGGAAGGGTCCTGCTTTGAGTATTTGGGGTTGTTATCCATAGAGCTGAGGTTTTTGCAACGTTGCTGGCATGGATGTGACCCATGGATTTACTAAACCAAGACAAGGTTTCTCCCTGTAACAGCTGGATACTGTACTTAAATGCTGCTGGGAAGGGGGATGGTGTGCCTGAGTGCAGTCTTCATGCCAAGCCCCAAGATGCTCTTGCATTTTCCATCAGCATCCCATGAGCTAGACATGAAAAAAAAAAAAGCAACCAAAGAGAAATAAAACCAGACCCTGAACTCTGCCCCTCCATCAGGAACAGAAGTGGTAGGAGGTTCTCTCAAGGAGGCAGAAAGGAAGGTGAACTTGAAGGATTGATATGAAATGCTGTTGGCTGATTAAGATTCAAAATGATTGCGATGCTAGGCTCAAGGAGGGTAGCAATTAGTATTTCAAGCAAGGACAGGATCTGAGCTGACGTGAGTTCTTCACTGGTTTCCCTCCCTACCTCCACATAGCATGTCTGATATGCTCTCATCATATCTCACGTCCTTAATGCCCTGTGCATGCAACTTTCAAATCTCTGCAGCCTATAATTAAGAGATACTGTCACATCTTTCTGTTCCACTAACAGAATAATGGTTTTCCTGGGCAGAGGCTAAGCTGAGAAGCTTATTTTCAAAGCAGGAGACCATTATCCTTGGACAGTGTTCTGTGCCAGCGACTGTGCCTCATTATACCAAATGTTTAAAAGCTGCACGTGGGGGAACCGACCAGAAATCTGGGCTACTGGGATGGGAGAGTTGAGTGGTTTTCCCTCCTGGGCTCCACGCAGCTCTGGTTCAGGTTGGGATCTGGTGGCACATCCCAGTGCACTGTGGACAGCAGCAACCAGGTCAGGAGACACAGAGCTGCCCCCAGCCCAGCAAAGGGAGGACAGAGGAATAGGTTCAACTGTTGACATCACCATGCACTGATGTTACATCAGCATGGAAGCCCGGCAGAGGGATGGAGGGGATGCTGAGCGGTCCCTTCACCTTACCCCTGGCCAGCATGTTGTTTGCCCCCCAGCATGGCATCTGCCCCCTGCAGCTTGTGCCTGGCCATCAGCCCAACACAAGCAGCCTGGCTTCTGCCAGCTGTGCTCTCCTGGGTCAGCTTCCCCAGCGATGGGATTCCTCCAGATCTGAACAATTCCACCGGCTCCATTTGGTATAACGAGGCAACGAGCTCCATGAGGAATGCAGTGACTTTTTGTTTTGGTTTTAGCACTGCCCCTGTAAATGCATACCTCATCATATCTCTCTCTGATCAGGCTCTTTCTGCTTCTCTCTGTTTTATTCCCATTCTTTCTTCTCCTTTTCACCTGGTCTATCCACATGGACCATGAAGGTCTCTTGAAAGGTAGGACCACGTGCTGCCAGAACTCCAGCACATTTAGCTTTTTTTTTTTTCTTTTTAATTACTCCTTTTTGCAATTTGTTTCTCCCCTCCCCATCCCATCCCCATACACCCGCCTTCACCTAACACCTAACGTTAAACACGACTCCTCTATCTCTCACTGGGGTCAAGAGTAACCCCATGCCCATCGATGCATTTTGCTTGGAGATGCTCCATGGGCATCACCAGCCACGTCACCCTCATCCCAAACTGGTCTCCAGTGTGTAGTGGGACCGAGGGATGCTGACGACAGACGTGAGCGGAAGGGCTGGATCCTCTGCATCACCCCTCAGCGCCCTCCCCCTGGCTCCAGACTCCCCTCTTGCCTATGATTTATGCCGCTCAGGATAGCACTTCCTCGACGGATTTGAGCTGGGTGCTCTGCTTCTTTAATGCACCCATCAGCAAATCCCATAGAAATCCATGTTAACAGAGTTAGAGCCCATCAGCGTGCTGATGAATATCTGCTTCGCCCTCCTAATGCACTAACAGGATGAGCAGCGTTGGAGAGAGGTAAAACCAGGGCAGGCACAGGAAATGCACTGCCTGGGAGTTTGGCACTGCAGAGCCCACCTTAGGGAAAACCTGGCTCTAGATCCAAGTCCAACCCAACCCACCCCAAATCTTGGGAAGGGGTATTTCAGATAAAAGGATCTGGTTTTTGCCACTCTCTACTTGACGTTAATTGGGCTTTCTAACAGTCTTGCTTGCAGACTGAATCCTCTCCCCCCCTAGAAAGGAGCCACTTACGAAGCTAACAAGCGATTATTTATCGAGATGCCAAGTTAACACAAGGCCTGGAACGTTGGTTTTGTATCATTGCTTAATTCACAAAGCGCTGATGGAAGGAAACACGGAACAAAGCTGCCAGTTGTGCCGTGGGATACCAAATTCCTCTCCCACTGCACAGAGCTGATGCCATTAATGAAATGCCATTAATGAAATGGCACAAACACTTTCCCTGGCCGCTCCCATCACTAAGGAGCATTTTTCTCCCTGGTCCAAGCAAAATGTTCCCTGTTCCCCTCTCCAGGACCACGCACCGTGCTGTGGATGCTGCCTGCCCAAAGGGCGAATCCTGAGATGCTGCTTTAATGAAAAATGGCCCCAAAACTCCAGAGGCTACGGGAGGTTGTTTTTCCAAAAAAGCAAACAAATGAAAAAAAATAGGCTGAATCGTTTTGGTTTTTTTCCTTTGATTGATGACTCTGCGTGCACAGCTTTGAAACAGCCCCATATTTTTTATCAATTTTAATAAAAGTCAAGAACAGAGTGGACTGCCATAGAGGGGAGCGAGCCTGCTGGGCGCAGGACTAAACCAAACCCAAATAAATAGAGACAGGAGTGGGAGGGAGGAAAAATGCTCAAGGTACGTAAGAGATCTCCTTAGCTGTGTTACACAATTTGCATGCTGAATGTGGGCTCAAATATGAACTAATGACTAGCTGATATGAAAATTAATTTTTATATATAGCAACTCTCTCGTCCTCGATGCAGTTCTATCTTTATTTATGAGGTACCAGTCCTTGCCCTCCTGAGAGGAAAACAGCTTTTCCCCCATGTTTTGTTAAAAGGTTTCTTTAAAAGATTGTTTTTCTTTTTCCTGTGGGTCAGCCGATTTGTTTTCCAGTGACCTGGCCTAATCTTTCCAGTGAAAAAGAGAAGAGTTGCAACTAAAGAGTTGGGCAAACAAGCTTAGATGCTCAGAAATAAGCTTGGAAAGGTAAATTCCCATGAGTTTCAGGAGCTGCACAGAACTTGGCATCCTGTGCTTGCCCCCCTCGCAGTGCTTTGAGTTTTCCCCATTGCATGGAGCTCTCTAAAACAATGTGTGCTTTCACAAGGAAAGCTGGGAACAAACCTCACTAAACCAAGGTTACAACAAGGTTGGCTAAAATGCAGGGAGAAGGAAAGGATACGAGCAATGACAAGGGAAGGATATTTATCACGTACATCCAGTTGGACTGCTCTGAGCAATGTGTGGCACGTAAAAAGCTCAGCAAACATCGGGGCAGTGCTCTCACACAAGCTTTATGGCTTTTGGGTGGTTTTGTGTGGAGCCTGGAGTTGGGATCCTTATGGTTCCCTGCCAGCTTGGGATATCCTGCAATTCAGTGATTCTACAAAATTGCTTTCTAAAACAAAAAGCCACCAGGGCTGGGCTATCAGAAATCCCAACCACAGCACAAAACCCAGCTGTGGACTTCCTTCATGGAGGCCGCGTGCCGACCTTGGGTTCCTACCAGGCGCCCCATGACCCGCTGCCCGCACTCAGTGCCTTTCTTCTGCTCTCTCAGCTCAGCACAGTCACACACTGGATTTACCTTTGAATATCCAGCCCTCGGTTTTTATCCCTCGCGATCCCCACGCTCAACCCTCATTCTGTCTGTCTGTCCACCAGTGATGAAGACAACAAACCACTGCCCAACAGCCAGACATCCCTGGATGGCACGATAAAGCAGCAGGAGAGCGACGACAGCTTGGTGGACTACGGAGAGGGTGGGGAAGGGCAGTTCAACGAGGACGGCTCCTTCATCGGCCAGTACACGGTGAAAAAGGACAAGGAGGAGACAGAAGGCAACGAGAGCTCGGAAGCCACATCCCCAGTCAATGCTATCTATTCATTAGCATAGCGCAACGCAATGGGACCACGAACAGCCTGTGGGGCTTGTAGTGGCTGGGGGTTAAAGAGCCGCCACCACCACGGCCTCCAACTCAACATACAAATGAAAACCAACCAATGACACACACACACAAAAAAAAAAAAGAAAAAAAAAAGAAAAAAAATGGAAAAAAAATAGAAAAAAATAATCCAAGCAAACAGGCAGACCAGGTTGCTGCCAATGCCATCTTATCCTTAGCAAACAAGTAAATGGCAAGGACTCCTGAGGCGTGGATGAGTTGTAGATGTAGCCAGAATTGGAGCTGAAGTGCAGAGATGAAGGGATGCAGGAGTGCTGTACCCAGCTCCCCGTGTCCTTTCTCTTCTTTTGGGAGGGAGTTTATCATTATTTTTTTTTAATATATATTTATAGGAAGGTTCCAGACAACAGGGGGAAAAAAAAGGAATTTGGGGAGGGAAAATGGCTGAGCAGAGAAACGTGTCATCAAAAATGTACAGAAGAAAAGGAGAGTGGTTTCCATATGGGCAACGCCGGCACGATATTGCACTGCAGCAATGTCCATCCCCATGCAGCACCTTGCCCACAGCCTCTCCCAAACCTTCCTGAAGGTTCCAGCAGCATCTCAAGCTGAGAAGTGTGGGTCTTCAACACTGTGGGACGAAGCCCCAAGGGCCACCAGGCCCAAATCACGGGAGCCCCAGGAGGATGAGGAGCTGCTGGGATGCACTGCAGTATGGCTAAGAGCCACTTGCCCACCGAGCCTGGCTCACAGCATCACTTGCCTGGGGAAGCACAGGCAAAACATTTTAGTTTAGTCTTTGCTTTGTAAGAAGTCTGGGGGAAATCCCCCTCCCCAGACCATGCCTGCTTTCTTTTAAAGGCAACTCCATAAATCTTATGTAGCAAAGAGGGAGTGGAAGCAGGACCAGTACGAACAAGGGATGAGGGGACCAGAAACTGCTTATAAAAACAAAAAGAAAGCCACCAAACACCCGGTCAGGCTGAAACAAACCCCCCTGGGAGCGGTTATGGGACCCCCACTGTTGCCCTGCACACTGCTCCAATGCACATCAGGGACACGCATCCCTCAGGAACAGCAGTGGGACACCGAGGTCCCCCCCCCAGCATCAGCTGCGTGCCAGGTTGGGCGTTCTCAGCTAACCCCTAATTTCTCACAGCGGCCTTTCCCCTCCCTACCCCTTTATCCCCCCCCCAAATCAATCAGCCTGAGAGACGCTCCCACAGCGCCGAACTCACCTCCGCTGTTCTTTACATATCAAAACCCCACGCAATTTACTTTCAGCCTGGGAAACACGCCGTAACGAAGCGTCTCGGATAGGAGTGCTCCTTCACATGCCTTACACAGCTTCCAACGTCCCGGGACGTTTAACAGACTGACACTAAACCCCCACCCCGCTTCGCTCCCCAATGCGACGGCCTCGGAGCCAGCGGAGCAGTAGGAGTAGGATGCTGGACATCTCCCAGATGGGAACGCATGGATCCTGTAGAGGGTAGAGCCTTTAGTGGCCAACGCTGTGTGTATTCTCCCACTTCCTGCACTTTTGAAACCAAAGGTACCTTCGCTGAGAGAGATCGGATTCCTTCAGACCGTTTCGCAGACGTCGAATGATGTTAGGATGGATTTTTCTTTTTTTTTTTCTTTCGTTTCTTTCCTAAGGAGGAGGGTTTTGTTCAGCTTAATGGATTAAACGCAATAGGATTAACGCAATTATTCTTTCAGCTGGTTTGCTACGAAGACGTATCGCTAACGAGAACACTGCTAATAGGGATTGCTCAGATGTACTTTGCCACATTCTTGAAGCTGCTAATGGCACAATGATCCTGCACTTTGGAGAGGAGAGCCAGGACCGGGTCAGCATTAACAGAGCACATGGGAGAAAACAGGCTGCAAGCAGACAGCAGACGGGTGACGTGCCCTTAACCCCAACCCCAACCTTACAGCTGAGGGGCTCCAGGTCAGCACAGGAGCCATCTGCCAGGGCCCTTCCCAATGTCACCTTGCAGGGCAGGGCCATGTTTGCTGCTGCGACCCTCCTTGTAATTGCACTCGTGCAACAGATCCGTTGCTGCTGTTTTCACCATTGGCCTCTCTAAGGAGAGCATCCCCAGCCTATCCCACAATCGCATTTCAGGTTTTAAGCAAACTCATTAAGCCAAACATAACACAGCTCTCAGTTATGGAGGCTGGCTGCTTCCTGAGCCCACAGCTGTCTGTACGAGGTCACATAGCTTGGAGGGAAAGCAACCTGCAGCCACTGCTATAGAGAAGCAGCTTCTGCTGTGGGAACTGGAAGCCTTGGGTACCACACAGCATCCCCAGCCCTCCAGGAGGCATCGGTCCTGGCAGCAGGGCAGGCTGTGCCACCTGTCTGCTGTGTGCCATTTGTATTAACACTGGTGTTTGTGTCTTGCCATTAACCTCTCTGCATCTTGCTGGAAGCTGGGCAGTGTTCACCCTGCAGCCTTTCCGTGCTTGTCCAGTGCAACGTGGCTTCAGTGAGCCCCAAAAAGCCTCGAAGAAACAGTGACAGAGTCTGAGCAGCACCTTCCTTGTGATCAAATAGGAAACAAAGGCAATGAGGACCCAAGAACGAATGGCTCAGTGTGATTTTTGTGGGCTTGTAGTGCTGGGTGTGAATTTACTAAAAAAAAAAAAAAAAATTGGAAGATACAGTTAAAAACAAAATTACTGTATTTGTTTGCAAGTTGCCCTGAAGTTTCACCAGGGACAAGCAGAGGGCTGTGGGGAGGCTCTGTGCTAGCCCCAGGGCTGGGCCCTGCAGTGCCCATCAAAGGGTGCCCATCCCTGCAGGGCTTCTTGGAGCAGGTCATGCTCTGAGCACCTCTTGTACAGAAAATGCGTCCTCACTGAGCATAAAAAGCAAGGACAAGCATATGCATGGCCAGCTGGTGCTAACCATGGAGCACAGGCATAGGACAGGAGGGAGTGGCTGTTGCTTTGATGCAATACTGAGACTGCTCCTCTTTTCCCTGAAGCGATGATGCAGTGAGAGACAGAAGTGCTGCAGGAAGCACCGAGAGACAAAACGAGCCTTCCTGAAACCCTTCTGGTGGAAACACCAACAGCCCATCCCCACAACACCCTTGCACAGCATTGCCTTCTTGCGAAGTCCCCAAGTCCCTGCAGGATGGCCACTTCTGCCTCCAAGGACAGATAGAGCTGGCAAGGCAGAACGCACTGCTGTGAGGCTGGAGTGAGGGCAGAGCCGTGCAGCAGCATCCCTTGCAAGTCCCATCCATCCATCCTACAACCCTTCAATTCCTTACCTCATCCATTCATCCTGTACCCCATCCATCCGTCCCCCACACCATCCATCCTGTACCTCATCCATCCATCCCATGCCTGCCCCATCTGTTCTGCACTGCATCCATCCACCCCGCGCCCCATTTATCCATCCACCCCATCGCCCGTCCACTCGCCCTGGTGCCCATCCATCCTCCCATCCTGTAAGCACCATTCTGTATCTCATCCGCCTCATGCCTGCCCCCATCAACCCTCCTGCCCGTCCACCCATCCATCTCACACCCCGTCCATCCTCCATCCCCCCCCATCCATCCGCTGCCTCTCCTCGGTGCACACCTCAACCTGCAACCTCACACCCGGCTCAGTTGTGTACTAGCAGCAAACAATTTCAGCTAAGCAATAAAAAATAAACCTTGTAAGCGTAAAAAAATAATAATAATAATAATAAAAACAACCAACCCACCCACCTCCTATTTCTTGCACTAAGACCTGTTTTATTGAAGAGAATAACGTCGAGTTTCTGGTCCCAGCACAACGCCCTGCTGCACCAGCGGCTCCCCCTGCCCAGCATCACCTGTCTCTGTGCCCTTTGCAAGCAGGCATTGGGCTTTGGTTGTCCAACATGGTCCAAACCCTGTGTCAAACCCTCAACACCAACTTCTTCCTTTGCAGTACAGCGTTCTGTGTGTTCGTTTCTTCCTCTCTCACGGGAAGGAAAAAAATATCGGACTGTTTTGTTTCCCTTTAATTTGTAAATATCTCTCCATCCGTCCTCTCTGTAAAACCACCTGGTTGGTCTAAATATTCTATGTATTTATTTGCCTTTTTTTTTTTTTTAAAGCAAAAAAAAAAAAATCAACACCTTTGCGTTAACCCACTTGTTTCAATGAGAATTGAATCTGAAGCTGTGAAATTAACACTTTACAGCAAGAAGAGCTACGGACTACAGAAGAAGTGTTTAATATAAGGACTTCTAAACTGACTGCATGAGAGATGAAAGAAAGCCAAAATACTCAGATAGCATTTTTTTTGAATCACTGTAAAAAAAAAAAAGAAAAAGACTGGGATTTTTTTGTATAGAGAACACTAAACATATAATAAAACATTGTTCAAAATTCAGGCGATGCTTGCCCTTCCTGTCCATCCCCTTTTTAGCCACTGAGGCTGTTCCCCTTCCCATCCACATCCACAGCCCTTCCCAGCAAAAAGCACAGCCCAGAAGCTGTGATGGGACACAGCAGGGCAGGTTGGTGGTGGAGGAGCTGGGGAAGGGAGGAGGCTCAGCAGCACTTCACCCCAAACCATCCATAGGAGAAGCGTTTCCCACCCCACACGGCCCTGCAGGGGGACCCTGCAACCTCAGTGAAGCTGCGGCTCAAAGCTGCAGCACCAGACCTGCATCTGCTCTGAGCACATCAGGAGAGCTTCTGGTACAGGGGAGCAGAGCAGAGCCCTGAGGATGCAGCACCCATCTGGACTGTGCCCGACTCCTGGGGCAGCGCCTATCAGCCAAGGGAGCGATGTGACCGCTGTGCAATTTAACTTCTTTCAGCCCAGCCTGTCTAACACCATCCTGCCATCCTCGCACCAGGGGAAGCATCCATAGAGCAGCAGCACCAGCTCACGAGAGCACAGAGCCCTCACCAACCACCTTGGAAGCCTCAGTGCAGACAGCAGCACCCTTCCCAGGTGGGGAAACTGAGGCACAAGCCATTGCTCCATACAGGTGGCTCAGCAGTGCCCAGGGCACAGGTGATGCTGCTTGGCATCCAGCACTGACACAACGCAAACAGCCTCGCAGAGCACAGAGAAGCTGGAGCAGGAAGCCCCCATGGCCCAACAGACTTGTTGGAGAGACAAGGTTTAACCCAGGTGCCCCCAACCCCCCAGCTCCCGGCAGAGCCCTGCATTTCCCATCCCTACTCAAGGCTCTGAAGTGCTCTTTGCTCCCTCGTGCAAAGCCTTGACGAGAATGGGCTGGAGAAGGGGGGAAAAACATAAAGCTATTTGGCTAATGAAGATGTAATTGCTGCAGACCTCACTAAGAGGATGAAAGTATTACTGCAGTGCTGCGGGGGGGCTTCGTCCATCCCCTCCCCATCGATAGGACAGCAGTGGGGAACAGAAGCACCTTAACTTTGGGCAGGAGAAGTCCCAGAGTGTTTGGGGCAATGGGGGCAGCAGCCATCCCAATCCCTACCCCAAAGTCCTATGGGATTTGGAAGGATGGGGCAGGAATGGCACTGAGCATTGCAGTCCTGGCACAGGACCAGCAAGCATCAAGGCAGAGCAACATCCTTCTGAACCAGGTGGGCTCAACCAGGAAACCTTAGAAGTACTCCTTTATCCACTCTATTTGATAGATGCTTGTTATTCCCATCACTCCTGTAGGGAAAATCAAGTTATTGCCCAGAAATGAGTGATAGAAGCCCCATCCCCGTGATCAATACGAGGTTGATATGCATGCATTAGTGCTCAGCCCTTTTTATGGCACCTCACAACACCCACTTCTCCCCCGACCTCGGTGGGGTGCAGATCGATGCCGACAGCCCTGAGTTCCCTCAGAGGGGCGATTCCACCTCCAGCACATTCTCCCATTACCGTCACTAAAAGCTCCAGCAGCACTGGGAAACGGCCATGGGAGCCCTTATGGAGCTGCCTCCTCCCCCAGCTGCTACAGGACGGAGCCTCAAGGGGTCACTGATACCCCAGATCCAACCCTTGGGAGCTGTGGGAGCAGAGTTGTGAAGGAGAGGGGCAGAGGATGGGCAAAAGACCTCTGCTCTGCCCGGAGGTGACAGCAGGAAGGGCCGTGTTCAATTCCTCCTGGTCTCACCCCAAAAGAGCTGCCAAGAGCAAAGAAAGGGACAAGAGAAGGACAGGTGGAACCCATTCTGTCTGGCCAGAGGAACGCAGACCGCTGGAGCTTTGCCAATCAATAGAGATACCGATGCCTTAATTACTCCTCTGTAATTGCAGGCCATTAACCTGCGGACAGCCCAAGTGCCATTGATCTCCCTCCATCATTAACTGGTCTGGAAAGGAGGGGAAGCACAGGGCGACCGCTGCTCCCACTGCTCTGCTCCTGCTTTACCCCTCAGCCAAGCCCAGACTGGGAGCTGCTGGCACCTTGACTCGCTCAGAGTGTCACTTGGGAGCTCCTGGATTGTCCCTGTCACATCCCATAGCATCACCCTCCTGGTCAGATCCCCCCCTACAACGTGTGCTTCAGGTCCTACCCATGCCAGCAGCACTTGTCTCAACAGAACTTCCCAAAACGCTGCTGTAAAGCAATTTCTGCAGCCTGCTCATAAACCCAGTTACGTACACCTACGGTTACACACATATTTTCAGGCACGGGGGAGTGCATACATATATAGAAACACTGCACAGGAGTGGGTGTCCCTGGTGAAGCCCAGCAGCTGGGGCTGCTCCCACCCCACAGAGCAGGGATTTTGCCCCCCGGCCCCACACCTGCTCCAACCCCATAGGGAAGGGGTTTCGGAGCTCCTGAAGGAACCGGGTGGGCGCAGCAGCCCGGAGGCTGAGACATGCATTATGCATCATGCTGCAAGCGGCTCTGACTGGTCCTTGCACTGTGGCAAGTGAGGTAAAGGCAGAGGGAAGAAAAAAAAGAAAAGAAAAATCCCCTCTCCAGGGACCGGCGTGGTGGTTGGCAGCGAGCGAGGGAGCGCGCACGCAAGGAGGGAGGAGAGGGAGGAGCACATCCTAATGCAGAGATGCTGCAGTGGCTCTGGGCACACACATCCCCACTCGGGCAGGCATCAGTCGGGCTCAGCACCGCGGCAGGAGCTCCGCGGCCCCGCACTCCCCCGCCTCATGCTCAGCCCCCGACCCCATCCCAGGTAAGCGCCTGCTCTCTCTCCTTCCCGCACCGTAAAGGAGGGGGAGGGAGGAAAAAAAAAAAAGAAGGAAAAAAAAAAAGATGAGGCTGCAGATTTCGGAGCACCGTTTCCAGCACAGGCAACTCTCCTTTATAGGGAGAAGCAGCCGAATCCTGCGGGGTCGGGGACGCAAGGGCACGGCGTGGGTTTGTGCACTGCTTGGGGCGATGGTTCTGCGGGCACAACTCAGCTCTGCTGGGAATGGAGTTGGGAGGAATAGGGGCACAGCGGTGTCACTTGTGGCAGGGGATGGACACTGCTGTAAGCAGAAAGGGCTCTTAGGGATCAAGTCGGAACTTATTTGTTGTTAATTGCTACGGTTACGCCTCGGCTTCGCATCCTGGCTGGCGGCACTTTGCAAAGCCCGAACGTGGAGGGGTGGGGGTTGCCGAGATCCGGCTGCACGGCGCTGCTCAGCACCCCCGGCTCGGGAGGGCAGAACCCCGGTTCCCCCTCGAAAAGAGAGAAGGAGAGCAGTGCCCTGTGACCCCCACCTCCCTCCAAACTCTCAGTTGCTCTGGGCAGGGTGGGAGGGCTGCTCGGGGGGTATCGCTGTGTTGGAGATTGGTCAGCGTTTTGCAACAGGAAGGTGTGGATGTGTGGGGTGGGGGTTCTTGATGCAATATAACAGACAGAACCCTGTGCTTGGCTTTGCTCTTTCTGGGTGCTCGGGTGGGGAGCAGCTGGCAGCGCTGGGCTGCTCTGTGGAGCTCCTCTCCCTCACTGTAAACTTCCTGAGCTCTCCTCCCTTCTGCATCTCACCCACCCGCTCCTCCAAGGCTCTCACTGCTCCCGCAGCCTCAGCATTATTGTTTCAACCGGGCTGGGGGCATTCATGAGATTGCCATCCCTCCAAAGGCACACTAGTTGCTTTGAGGGTGAGAGGCAGCAGCCTGAGAGCTGGGAACAACCCGAGTGTTCCTGGAGGTTTTGGCCAGAGCCCAGTGCAGCTCTGCCTCCCCTATGCATGCCCTCAAGCATCTCAGGGTGCAAAGCAGAGGCACAAGGTTTAGGGGCAGGTATGCATGTATAGATAAACCTCTCAGTGCTGAGTATTTGGCAGCACTCCATGCAAAAACAGTCTTCTCTGACCTCTCAACATAGCCAGAAATACACCTCCCACCCTTCAGGACAGCTTGGGGTCTGCAGAACAAGGGGAAACCACAGTGCTGGGTGGGACCGTAAGGAAAGCAGTAGTTGGTTCTGCTCTTGGGATCTGAACGCACCCACAACACCAAAAGCTGCTTTGCTGAGCCAACACAGCTCCCAAACTTCCTAGAAATAAGCATACTTGGTACAAACAGGTGAGAAGGGTCTGCAGCTAAGGGAAGGTGCCGGGGTTACGTTCAGCCCACGGAGCGCAGTGACGATGCGTTGAGACAAAGGAACCATAACACTCCTCTCCAGCACCCAATCAATTATGATCCAACTGAGTAACCACGACTTTTGTCGCTCGGAATGGATGCGCAGAGCGTTTACCAGGCTGTGCCTCTGCAGACGCATCGCACGCGAATCACAGCAGCAGCAGCACAGCGGGGCTGTAGGGAGGCATTTCCAACACGCGAGCACAGAACGTAGCATGCAGAGCCCACGTGCACAGCCCATAGCCTGGCTGCTCAGCCTCAAACTGGCCATGAAAGATCACCGAGCCTGGATGAGGGATGGATACGCTCCTTCCCTTCTTTAGCAGACCCCCAAGTCCATGCCATTTTATAGGTTTGCGAGGAGCGTGCCCAAAGCGCATCCCCATCTTTAGGATATGCATGAGAATCACCGTGCTGGCTGCTCAGCCATGCCCTGCTTGGAACAAGGATGGTTTTGTTCCATCTCATGGGCTCAGTCGTAGCACAGCACTGCTGTCATCTCCCCACACAGCTGGAGGCACATCTGTCCCTCCTGAGCTTGCAGCCTGCCCTATCAACCAGCGCGCCATGCAAGAAACCCAACATTTCTTCAGGGGCTGTCAGAGATGGCATTAAAGCACAGACACATGGGAAGAGATAAGAGAGGATTCCTTCAAGAGTCCTTTGAGTGTCAAACAACGCTGATGGAAGGGAAAAAAGCAGAAACTTATTCTAACAAGCACTATCCGGCTCTTTCTAGATTAGGGAACCAAATCTAACTCATTTTTGGTTACCACCACCCCCCCCCCCCCCCCTTGATGTCTTCAGCACTTGGAGAGCTGTAAACAAGGACTACAGTCAAGGAAACCAT